TGCAAGAGCGGCTGAGACATCTTAACTGCTGAGACATCTCTCTCGTTCTCCTTTTGTATTTTTAAAAGGCCACTGTCAGCTAGACATGGTGGTGCATGCCTTAGATCCTAACATGCAGGAGGCAGAACTCCGTGAGTTTGAGGCCAACCTGGTCAAGTCAACCAGGCGAGTTTCAGATCAGCCATAGTGAGACTGTCTTAAACACAAGACCCTACTGACTTCTTTTCGGATAGCTGGTGTGTGTATCACGAGACCTGTGGTTTTAACTTTGCATGGTTATTCTCCACGGGGACAGTATTTGGAGCCCTCCCAACTTTATTTAGTCCACTTTAGTCAAGTGTCAATTGAGTGCCCAGGCCGCACCCAAATGCCATGTGAGGTGCTGAGCTGGGCTGGTAGGGTGGGCATGTGCAGATTCTATTTCCTTTTCCTTCAAGGTGTGATATCTAACATTTTTTTAAAAAAATAAAATAAAATAAAAGCCACGCTTATTTTCTGGATCAAGGAGCATGTTGGCATTCGCTAGAAGCTGGGAGTCTTCAAAGACAGAGCAGCGCATGCGCTCTACCCGGCTCCTCGTTCTCAGTCGCCGCTGCCCGCTTGTGCGCCAAAAGCCTTGGAACGGGCAGGAGGCTGACTGCGCTCACCAGGATGTGCTCAAACCACGTCTTCAGCAGAAAGCTATGATCCACAAGGCTCACCCCAGGAACCTGAAAACCTCACGCGGCTTCAGGCCACACCCCTTAACAATTATGTCAGGCAGAAGCCGGTGTTTCTAATGGAGTCGCGTGCCGGAGGCTGCAGTCCACTAACGACTGTGAGCAGCGTTTGGCCTTTTCTTGTCTCTCAAGGCCTTGCCTCTGATCCATCCTGGCCGCCAATCCAAACCCTGAGTCTTGGTTTTGTCCTCACTGGCTTTGTTCACTCACTAATAGCCCCGGTGAACATACCGTATTTATCTTTTGTTTTCTTAAATGTTTCCCTGGAACCCCGTGTTTCCCAGTCTCCCAAACAGGCCTTTCAATTTACAGCCGTCTTTGCATGTTAGCAGGGTACACATTACGCCACTGACCAAATGCTGATGGTACTTCCCAACAGTCAGAAAACATGGCATTATAATAGGCCAGCAGACTCTCTGAGAGACTATTGGGACCTTTGACTCGCAGTATTTCTTACTAAGTATAAGTTTGAATTTTTGTTTTGTCTACAATACAGATCTTTGTGTTCTGTTTTGTGACTTTTCCCGGACAGACGTGAACCACGTCCACTCTCCAGATAGCGCATCAAGAACAGACTAAAGAGATAACGCTTCCTAAGTACAGCTTGGTGAACCAGAGAGCTCATTACTGGGAGTGTTTCCATACAGAAGAAGAGGGATGCGAGACCTGTTTATTTAGTGGTTTTGAACTATTTGAAGGCCTGAACTCTTTAAAAGGTGTAAGCAACTCTGGGGAAAGTCCCTGTGTGAGCACACACTGTCTAACCATGGACACTGTAGAGACCCTGTGTGAGCACACACTGTCTACCCATGGACACTGTAGAGACCCTGTGTGAGCACACACTGTCTACCCATGGACACTGTAGAGACCCTGTGAGCACACTGTCTAACCATGGACACTGTAGAGACCCTGTGTGAGTACACACTGTCTACCCATGGACACTGTAGAGACCCTGTGAGCACACTGTCTACCCATGGACACTGTAGAGACCCTGTGAGCACACTGTCTAACCATGGACACTGTAGAGACCCTGTGTGAGCACACTGTCTAACCATGGACACTGTAGAGACCCTGTGTGAGCACACTGTCTACCCATGGACACTGTAGAGACCCTGTGTGAGCACACTGTCTAACCATGGACACTGTAAAGACCCTGTGTGAGCACACTTACTTACCACGGGGCAGTCTAGCACGCTTGAAGGCTGTTCTCTGCCCACAGTTTTTTTTCTGTTGTTCTTGGTTGACTCAAGACTATGAGAAAAACGAGCTTTAAAAATACATTTATCTCTCTGTGTATGTGTGCGTGTGCAGGCAGAGGAGGGCTGTGGGAGGTGATCCTCTCCTTCCACCCGTGGGCTCAGGAATAGAACCCACGGAGCCATCTTACTGGCCCCCAGAGATTTTTTTTAAGTGCAGAGAAGGATTTTTTTTTCAGCCACAGTGTGAGTGTAGTCTTCTGTCAGCAGGAGCATTTGACTTAAAGGAACCAGGCCACACAACAGGGGGACCCCAGTTCTTTCCCTGGACAAGATTGAGGTAAATCCCACTCTAAACTGCTGTGCTAAAACAGGCATGCCTATAGCCAAACTGACCACTAGATGGCGCCACAACACCAGCTACTTTTCTAGTATTGGCGCTAGTGTTCCATGGCCAGATGTAGGGAACAAAAAGGCGGTAGCTAAGTACGCAGGACTTGTCTGATTTTTAAGAGTATATTATTGTTGTTGTTGTTGTTATTGTTATTATTTTCTAGAGAAAAAATTATCATTATTATTATTTTCTAGAGAGAAAATATTTTGTAGTGAGAAGGGATAGGTAAAATAAGTTTGACATAAATAAGGGCAGGGCTCACTTTTCATTCTTCCCTGAAGGAAAGTCAGGGAAAGCGCCCTGACCCCAGCACTCCCGTGTACCCTGGAAACACGTCTTGGTTTTCAAGGTTGTGAGATTTTCTATCTCTGGGAGAAGGGGCTTTGGCTGTGTCGGCCGTTCAGGTTTCTAAATAAAAGTATAAAGCATCACATAACTGACCTTACTGAGATCCCCAAATCTGTGTGAAGTCTTTCCAGTAGCTTATGAGTCACACTGCAGTGTGGTATTAGGGCATTTGTGTGCGACCTATTTATTTCATCCATCACTATTTTATTTTTTTCTCTTTTAAACGTACTCTTCAAAGATTTCGTACATGCACTGTCCTGGTTAAGTCTTCACTGCACTAAGCAAATACTATGGCTGAAAACAACCCGGGAGGGAGAGGGTTACCTCAGCATGCAGAGACACTCCTCATGGAGGAAAGTCATGGCAAACACCCAAAGCAGGAACCTAGAGTCAGGAACTGAAACAGAGGCCACAGAGGAGTTCTACTTCCTGGCTTGCCCCCCTGGTTCTCTGATTTCTCACAGACCCCAAGATTACCTGCCCATAGACCACACCACTCGCAGTGGGTGGACCCTTCCACGTCAATCATCAATTAGGAACCGCACGTCCTTGCTGACAGGCCAGTCTGATGATGGAGGCGTTTTCTCCCTTGCTGACAGGCCAGTCTGATGATGGAGGCGTTTTCTCCCTTGCTGACAGGCCAGTCTGATGATGGAGGCGTTTTCTCCCTTGCTGATAGGCCAGTCTGATGGTGGAGGCGTTTCTACCTTACTTATCGGCCAGTCTGATGGTGGAGGCGTTTCTCCCTTGCTGATAGGCCAGTCTGATGATGGAGGCGGTTTCTTAGTCGAGGCTCCCACCTCTCAGATGACTCTAGCTTGTGTCAATTTGACAAACGAAACTAACCAGTCCAAGCATATAGTTAGATTCGACCCGCCCCGTGTCCACCTCCACCTCCTCCTCCTCCTCTCTGCTCTCCCCCCTCTTCAAGTGGTCCTTTGGAACACACTGAACCCCTTAGTTCTCCCGTATGCTCATCCTCTGGGCCATGAGCAGCGGTGCGGGCAGCCTCTGAGGAACCATATCCCTGGAGCAGACCGGGAGGAAAAGGCTGGTTTCAGTGTGCGGTTACAGTCTTTATAAAGTAGCTTTGATGAGTACTCTTCTTTCTCTAGTACTATGCAGAACACCTTCCATCACTATGAAAGCTAGCAAGTACAGGCTTCTAGTTTGACCAGCCGGCGGGGATGGAGTTTCCAGGTCGATGCCATGATTTCTCCACGTCCTATAACGTGAATATGCGGTGTTTTCAGCAGTGGGGGGGGGGTCTTACCTTCAAGTTCTGGAGGGTAACAGCGACAAAAAGTTTATGTTTTGAGGGGTCTATAAGTTCTCTTATTTCCTTGAATTCTGTTAAGTCTGTTACCACAGTAAGCAACAGCTATTAGACCACACATGTTGTATCTAGTCTTGGTCAAACATATGTGACTGTATCATAAAAACCAATTGATGTCAGCGAGACAGGAAAATACAGCAGAGTGAAGCCCAAAATGGCTTGCTGCCCTCCAACGTGGACGTATCCCAACGGAGCATATATAAGAGCGCCCATGCTGTATGAATGACCTCGTAGACCCCAGTGCTTTGTATGGCTTTTTGCCATTGAGCTTCTGCCTGCTGGCTCTGGCTGGCTTCTTCCTTGGATGTGCCTATAAACCATTTCTGCCTCTGCTCTTGCCCAGGTGTCCTGTCCAACTTCTCGTTCAGCAACACAGGGACCTGGAAATCCCGGTGCAGGATCACCAGGCTCCCATGTTTATAGATAATGTTTTTCAACATTAAATACACATTAGGGTAGTGTTTTGTTATTAAAAGGCAAATAATAATGGTTACATTCTTCAAGACAGAACAAATAACTAATAATTCAAAGACCTAAAAGCCAACGAATACTCTTTGGAAGAATTTAACAGCTATTGTGAAATTCGTTCATATTCTTCTGATTACTAGGTTTTGGAAGTGAGTAAGCCTAGGAAGGAAGCAAGTCCATTCCAGTTGCTCTGAGTTACAGACACAGGACACAGTGTGGTGGCACCTCCCCAGCCAGGAGAATTGCTCCCTGGGGAGGAAATGCCTTTATACAGGCTTCTTGCTGAGCCCGCCCCCACTGGGAAGTCCTTAGTTTTGGGAAATGAGCTGGAGGCCTCTCTGTTGTAAATGGGGAGAGAAGAGAGGCGAGGGCTCCCAAAGCCTCTTGACTGTTGAATTCTCATGGGTGTGACTGTACCATGAAAGATGTAGTCGTTCAGAAATGCCAACACCCAAAGGACATGCAGCAAAACGCATGTAGTCCCTGCTATGGCGTGGACCTCACTGCCTGCTTCTCACGCCCTGGCTGTTTGGTTGCAGGTCTACAGTTTGACGGGGTACTGGGCCAAGCTGAACGCCAACCTCGAGTATGTTAAGTACACGAAGCCCCACTTGCACTACCACAACAGTGTTGTGAGGAGAGAGTGGTACAACCTGATCACTGAAGAGGTGAGCGTGCACACACACAGGCACACACACACACACACACACACCTAGCAGTAGAGACGGAGCGAGGCCAGCCACAAGGCCGCCTCAAACTGCCTGTGCTCTTCTTCCCTGTCACAGGCTGCCTCACCTCAGTGACAGCCCAGTGGCAGCCAGGGTCACTTCTGCTGTCTGTTCTTTGGGGAAGGAACGGGAGTCGGAGAAGTGAAGGGGTGTGTAGCACATTTATGGCAGAAGCACGGAACATGTCTCGGATACAGTTAGATTGCCTGAGTAGCTGAAAGTTCATCTAGGGAAACGTAGGTGTCCCCAGTCAGCGTTTGCTAGAGGTTAGGAAGAGGAAGAGTCCGTGAGACAGACTGTGAAGGGGTTGGACAGGGAGCTCTCCAGGGAAATGAAATAGGTTCACGGTGGTACATGGTAGTACGTACATCTACACACATGCCATCACATCCATTTCCTGATCTTGACACTGTGGTCTAGCTATATTAGATAGAAACATTAATGAGAACAGGGTGAAGGGTGCCTGGGAACCCTGCGCTACTGCTGGAGAGAGGCCCAGGGTCCTGCGATTATACTGCTTGAGAAAAAACTTTAATTAAAAAATAGGTGTTCTCAATACATGGGAAATAATAAATAGTATTTTTGAAACCTTTAACTACACTGATTTTTTTTTTCGAGACAGGGTTTCTCCATAGCTTTTGGTTCCTGTCCTGGAACTAGCTCTTCTAGACCAGGCCGGCCTTGAACTCACAGAGATCCGCCTGCCTCTGCCTCCCGAGTGCTGGGATTAAAGGCGTGCGCCACCACTGCCGGGCCTTGATTTTTGTTCTTGCTATTAAAAAAAAAAAAATCTGTCCATGAAATTTCCACCTTCCATGTTCCTGACATGCTTTCTCTCCTAGAAAACGGGGCAAAGAAGGTCCACAGTGTATGTGAAGAACATTCTCGACAACGCAGCCAGGTAAGTGCCCCTGGCCCGTTTGCCTGCCTCGGTGGCCTCCGGCTGGTCGGCTGCCTGGGTGGCACGCGCTCGGCGAAGGGCTGTCCTTGGCTTCCTCTAGACCACGGGAATGCCTCTAGGTTAAGCCTGGGATGGAGGGCTTGAGATAGAGAGGGTGAAGAAGGGAATGCCGTTGGCGTGGAAATAGGTAGTGAGCTGTTTTAAGTTGCTAGTGGAGCTGGCTCTTATTTTGAAAGTGGCTTCATCCCGGAGAGCTGAGCGTGGAGACCCGTTCCAGCCGCCATTCTATTTTCTGCCTCCATTATTTCCAGTAACTGGGAGCTGAAGTTTCTCTCAGTAACTGCTGTTGCTGGCACTCAAGGGCTTTGAGATTAATCTGCCCTTTGGTACTGAGCGAAGTTTTTGAGTTCCCTGGTAGGCAGAGAGCAGCTTCTCAGTGGTTTTGTGGGGCTTTCGAGGAGGTATATCTGTGCAGTGTCGGGGCTCTTCGTTTTTAAAATGATGGTTCCTTTGTAAAGAACACGCCATTTCTTTGCAGGGTGATTTCTAACATGGAGTCAAGGGCACTGGGTAAGAAGAGACCTATACTAAAGTCCATGTCTTGTTTGCAACACTGTTCTTCTGAATCAGTGGACTGGCAAGAAAATCCCTTGCAGCAGGATAATGGGGTATCATTGATAGCAACAGCTTTTAACAGTGACCACAGAGCCAGTCCCACGTCTGTCTTGGCACCGGGTCCTTCCAGGGGCAGCTGCTGAGTATGTTTTTGCTGAAACAGTCCCTGGGTGTTGGCCTTCTGGTTTTCCTCATGCCTCCTCTCAGGGCTGATCTAATTAGCGTGGCCTCTGGCTGCCCTGCAGGGTGCGCTTGGTTCTCCTGCCTGAGCTGCTCTCGCCAGCTGTCTGTGCCGTCTGTGTGTCTTTCATTCTGGTTCCCACCGGGTCATGCCCTGGACTTGAGCAGTGTGGTTCTGTAGGGTGGACACCAGCTTTGATTCCGAGGCTGTCACATGCCAGCCCCCAGTGCCTACACATTGTCTTCTAACCGGGCCCGAGCCTTTTCGATGTTGACCATGCTTCGGGAAGGACAGCCGTCATTAAGGAAGCTATTTTTATCTACTCCTGTTTTATGGGCTTGGATGTTTTCGTATGCGTGGAGAGCCTATGAGAATTAACTTAGAAAGTGTGTTATGCACACTCAACAGCTGTATACACAGCTCCGTGAACCATGAAGGTGACTTGTCTCCTGGGTGACCAGACCATCCTCCTGTAGCCGGGGACTGTGCCCTACTAGACAAGGCATAAATGAGTTACATCCACTCCTGCTATGCTTAGAGACTGTGCAGTGTGGGAAATGTGGGCGATTTCGGGGCTCTGCTTTGTGCCAGGCCTGTGACATCATCTTGAGGGCAGTGACTTCCTTCCTGTGCCAGACTTTTCTCTGCGTGAAGGATGGTGTCTGTGCTGAAACTGAACCCCGCAAACTGAGGGTTGTTAAGTTCATATTCCGAGTACTTTCATCATAACCCGGAGGGTTAAGCAGGTGGAGAAAGCATTCGTCCTAAGGTGCCAAGAACACCCATGCCTTTTAGAAGGGAGCATCAGCCTGTGGGTTCTGCTCTGGGCTTCTGGGAGAAGAACCCAGTGGGCGTGCCAGGAAAGATCTGCTTGCCTATTTGCCTTCCCCTGGCCTCCTGTCTGGTCAGTGCAGGGTCAGTCAAAGTGGGGAAAGCGACTTTTGGTCTAACTCTCTCGCTGTTACATCTCAATCTGAAAGTTTGTGCCCATCAGCATTGTTCGCCCTAGTTACTGGCTGCCTCATCAGCTCAGTAACCTTCAAGGCCACTGAACTATGGGGACAGCAGATAAAAGGGAGCCACACAGTCCTTCCACTGAGGCCTGCCATCCCTAGAATTATGTCTCTGGAGGGTAAGAGGCTCAGGTCAAGGCCTGGCTTGTGTGGTTCTTCTAGCCCACTTCCTGAACACTACCTCTGATGATTGCTCCTTTGTTCACCTGCAGAGCCAAGGTTGATACCTCTCCTACAAGAGGAAGATCGGCACCAGAGGCTGCTCGTGGGTCTGGTAGGTAATCCGTGGGCTTCTGTAATGTGGGCGAGCAAGTGGTCCCAGGAAACTGTGGGAAAAGACAGATGGCATTGTCCACTAAGTATTCAGCGGGTGCCAGCACTGTAGCCCAGTGTCCAGTAGCGAGCAGTACGTGTGATTTCTGCCCTCTTGGCATGTGTAGTCCAGCAGAGGAGATGAATCCGTCACATGAATAAGCATGGAATTGTAAACTGTGATAAGGAACACGTGTGTGCCTACATTCTGTGATTCCAGACACATGCCCCTGCTTTCGCTGCTCCATGGGTTCTTGGGATCTGAGCTCAGGTCCTCAGGCTTACGTGACAATCTCTTTGATCCACTGAGCCATCTCCAAGGCCTGTGTTTGGTTTTTGACTATCCAATTGACAAAAATTTACAAACTATAATAACAAGATTCAGGATGCAGGGAATTGGCTCTTGTTATGGCACACGCTGAAAGTGAAGACCAACTGTTTTGGTGGCATCTTGCAAAAGCGTGAGAGCCAACCAATTTTACTTCCAGGGGCTGAATCTGACTGAAAGTTGTGGGCTATGGCAAAAACCCCTTTCTTCCCCTCCCTCCCTTTCCAATGAGGCTCCAAGCGGGAGGACGCTGTTTCTGCGCCGACTCTAATGTAAACTTGCATGTCATGTTAACAACAGTGAAGAAACACGGACAAAAGGAAATGAAAATTATAGTACGTGACACAGACTTAAATACTTCTGCTCATTGAAGCCTGTGTGAATGTTTAATGATATTATAAAAGACTAGAATAGGTGTGCATAACTGCATAGGGGAGACTTGAATAGGTGTGCATAACTGAATAGGTGTTTTTCATTTAGCCCACCGACCTTGAGCCCACTGTGTACCTATGAGAGTCTGACCTTGAATATTTGATACTCCTGGCTTAGCTTCCCATTTGTAGGATTATATAAGCATCAGGCTAGGCATTGGTTTTCATCTCTACAGTAATTACAGAAAAGTTAAATAGCACAAAAGTACATAGTAATTCTTAGAAGAAACATGTTTAAAAAGCCCAGTGCTTTGAGTTGAACTTTGGAGACATTGTGTCCTGTTGAATCCTGAGGTCACACTGAGTTCTCTAAGGTGGACGGCGGTTTAAGGTTTATGCAGTTGATACCCTGGACAGTTCTCCCCAGCTGCTCATCGCAGGAAGATCTTTTTAGCTTAAACAACAACAGCAACAAGAAAAGCCCTCTTGGTGAGCGGATTTATAGGCCAAAAGGGAGAGCAGGAGAGGCAGCAAAAGGAAGGGAAAGAAAGACATGAAGATGGAGGCCTGTGGATGCAAACCTTAGAAGGGAGACTAGGGCTTAGAGCAGATACAGAAGCCTGGTACAGAAGAATGACTTTTTATTACCTTCACCTGTGAGGTGGGTGGCTCAGTGTAGATGTGGTGTCTGCTGCATTTCCTTCTAGGTCTAATGTCTGTCCTTCCAAGAGTCCCTACTGGCACCTTCCTGCCCCCTACAGTCTCTGTCTCCACGGAGAGTAATCACTCCATGAAACATGGTCCCTCCACGAAACAGGGTCCCTCTGTGGAGCACTGTCCCTCTGTGTTGGACCTGCTCTTTTTCCAGAGTGGTTAATGTTGTAGGTTTCTTCCTTTGGGGTGTCAGGGGTGAAGGGTTTTCCTCAGATGAAGAAATTTTCATGTTGATGTGAAATATTAATAACAACGCTAATTACAGCCTGCCGCAGGTGTGGCTGGGCCTGTCCTGACTCATGTAGCACCTCTCCTGTTCTCAGATGGTGTCTGAGCTAAGAGATCATCTATTGAGACACCTGCAGGGTGTAGAAAGGAAGAAGATCGAACAGAGAGTTCTGGACTACGTTTCAAAACAGGTTGGTTTTACCTTTTTTCCTAATTTCAGCCCTACCCTTAGCCCCATGTCTAATTCTCAAGATGTCAGCCGGTGAGGCCATTGGTTGTTTAATGCATGCGTGTTTATGTGTTTGTGTATGTGTGTAGACGTGTGCAGTGGGGGGTGGGAGTGCCCATGGGCATGTGGAGGCCAGAGGTTGACTTAGCCATCCTCCATCACTCTCCACCTCAGATTTGGAGACAGGCTCTCTCCCTGGCCCTGGATGGCATTTGTGCAGCTGGCTGGCCAGCCAGTGGATTCCAGGACTCTACTTGTCTCTGCCCCTTCCATTGTGAAAGCCAGGTTCCCTGCTTGACTTTTTATGTGATGTTGAGGCTGCACCTCAGGCCCTTGTTTTGCGTAGTTGGCAGGTTAGTGACTGAGACTGTGTCTCCCCAGCACCCTTGTCCCCCACTTTGCTTTTCAGCTTAGGTTTTGGAGATTTCCATCTCCAGCCTGGTATATTTGGTGCTATAGATTGAAAGGAGGGCAAAAGGAACAGCAAACAAAGAAAACTTGTTGTGGAAGGCAGCTTTCTGTCCTGCTTCAGCGGTCCTATGTTCATGGGAGCATACGACAATGAGACCAGGGTAGCCACCAAGTGGCCACTTCCACTTCTTTATTAAACAATAAGTCTTGCTTTCCATAATGAAGTTTTATACAAATATGAGAGAGCTTGCACTTTAAATCCTAATTGGCTCCCAAAGCCAAACTTGGCTAGCTTCCAGCTCGGCTCTCCATTCCCCATCTCATCTGCCATTGAGATGGTAGCTCACTGCCTGTTCGCCATGCACTGAGATGGTAGCTCACTGCCTGTTCGCCATGCACTGAGATGGTAGCTCACTGCCTGTTCGCCATGCATTGAGAGAGCATTATTCAAATTAACGACACCTGTTCATATGTGGATGCAAATGATGTTCTGAGACTGGATTTCAGCCATATTTGCCTTTTCACAAAGCACCGAGACTGAAGTCTGGTCCTGTAGAACCTAGAAATAATACGCTTGACAAATCGAAGTATTCAACGACAAAGAGAAAGAAGTTTCCATGATTTTGCCAAGTTTGGGTAAGAGCGGCCTGCAAGTGGGAGTGAGCTTTATAGTCTTAATATACTAGAAAAGGCTGGATGTTGTTGCGTAATGATATTTATGGTTGGAGTGTCCAGGCTTCTCTGACTGCTTCTCAGTAGAATGGCGGTGAAATGGCCTTTAATGATAAGGTGTTGACCCACCCGCTCCACAGTGAGAGGATGTTCTCAGTCATCTGTCTCTTCAAAGGTGAAAGTCCTCTCTATTCTTTTCGTCAACTTTAGTTTTTAGAACAAGGCCAGTTCTGAAGCAGTCTAGTAAGCAATCGTGTTGATGAGACCAGATACGCGAGGTAGAGGTGACTTCCTGGGTCTGTAGTCTTTAGGAATGAGCAGGAATTACTTGCATGAAACCACGTCAAGCCAGCAAGACTTTGTTGCACACATGGGTCATTTTCAGCATTGCTGGTTACCCAGACGTAGCTCCTCCCCACAAATAGCCTTGCCTGCTTATGACACAAGGCCAGCGATAGCCATGCCGTTGGTGATCGTATGGAGTTGTACATAGTGGCAGTGAGGGGTTTGTTTCTCCACACCAGGTGACAGGCAGCAGGTGGCTTCCAGCTCAGGATGTGAAGCTTAGGGGCATTGGCTTAAAGAGCCTGTCATACTGAGGGCTTTCTTTTGAAGCCACCACCACCAAAGCTGGTGTTGGTGCCCATCTCTCCACGCCTGCTTTCTCTCTTCTCTCTGGGGACTTTGCTTCCTCTTGGTGTGTCTGGCGACTGTGTCATTTGTATTTCCTTAGCAAGGGACTGTGTACGGAGGAGCTTAACTTTAGCTCTCCAGCCCTCATCTGATCCTCTCTGCTTTATTCTTTTTTTCTCCTTGTGGAATCTCAATGATGTCTGTGGCATGCTCTGCAGACATCTGACATTCATTTCGTGGTGTGATGACCGCTGCAGAGCCATTGGGAACAGCTTTCGGAGCACATAGATGCTCCCAGAGCTGTGTCTGAGAGGTTGGTCACACCTCTTTCTGTTGACTTGAAGTCCCCCTTCTACAGTACTAAGAACGTCCACTCTAGCTAGCATCCTTTCTCACTCGGCTTCACTGACTTCATCACATGCGAATTTTCACGCTGGGTTGTGCCGATTCCTAGAGCCAAGAGGCCTAGAAATGATGCCTGAGTTGACCCAGAAACACCATGCCCCTGACTTACCTAACTTGCCCAGCTGCAACCAGCCATGCCTCCAGTGTCTGGTTAAAGAGGATGGCCAGGCAGTCTTTCTGGAAATACGCTCAAGGAAGTTGGCACAGAGCTTGATGATGTTGTCCGCACGTAACTTGCATTCAGCAGAGAACCCTGTATCCTGGAGGCTGTGCACGGAACTCCTTTCTGCCCCGCCTCCTGCTCTTACCCTGCGTGCAGGTACACTGGTCTGTAATGGACAGCTGTGTGGAGACTGCCCTACCGCGGACAAACGTGTACAATTAGACTAGGTTTCTAGATAAAGCCCTAAGACCAACCAGGCATCTGGCTTGGGTGATACGCAGTGTTGTTTGTTGAGCACTGGCTCCAGGAAGTGACGTAACTAACACTTACGACAACCCTGTGAAAGCACTTCCTCCCATCTCACTGAAGAAGACCCTGAGATTTGAGAGATTTGAGAGGATGGGTAACTTGCCAGGGAGACAGCTCCACAGAACCTGGCCCTGAGGTCATATCTCTCCACAGCTCATGTACACGACGACTCCATGCCCCTCTCCCAGCTTTCTTCGCTCAGCTCTCAGCCCTGGCAGTGTAGCCGGCTGACAGCTATGCCATTGGCATTTGACCTTCACCAATGGGTGAGGGTCCGTGCGGAGGGTGGAGCCGGCTAGCTTGTCAGGGGAGCATTGCCAGCGCGGACAGAGGGTACTCTGTTACAGTCGGGGCACGTTTCCAGGCGTTCCCTTCTGGATCCCAGTGTCTCGGAACTGATTTCAGAAAGGCTTGTTGTATGGTGTGCCCAGCCGCAGCCCGAGGGCCAGCTGCCTTGGATGTGCAGCCAGAGCTGCAGAGGCACAGCCGGGAGGGCGTTGAAGGAAGGGATGCAGGCTGTGGGTCACGAGTCCTCTTTCCTTCTAGCTGAATCTCATTTGGTGCATGCTGGAGACCAGCTGGAGGAAACACAGTGCACGTCCTTGGGTTCTCCACCTGTACGCAAGTATTTCTCAATCTCCTCCATCTTGGCGTGCAAGTCTGAAGCAGTGCTCACGAGCCCCACCACCACCTCTTAGTTTTATACTCAGAATTCAAGGTTACTTCAGCTGTTCTTAATGACATGAGGTTGATGAGGAGGGAGAGACACGTGAACCTACTACTTCTAAGAAGGGAAATTTCAACTAGTGTAATTTATAATTTATGAGCACACTGAGGAAGGTGTGCGATTCTGTGCTCTAGGCTGTTGGTCAGTCTCTCATTCCTGAGGTTTCCATGGGGTACAACATTTCATAGGAATCTCTGTGTGTGGTACTCAGAGCCACTACTCGAGACTGGAGGGCACGTGGTTGACTTACTACTGCGTTGTTTTTACCCAGCAATAACCATGGCAGCGCTGCACACTTTGAAGTCTTTCACCTCATGACCAGGATTTTGGATGCCACAAGCAGCCTGTGCGTCCCCCTCCCTCCTGGTGAGTTTGGCTCTTTGGTTGTCGGGTCATAATAAAGTTGTTTCTCACGTGGTCTCCAGAGAGTAGCGCCCTGGATTTCAAGATGGCTCCCGAGTGTCCGCAGCCGGCTCTGGTGGAGGATAGCCTTAAGGTTGGTCTCCGTTGGCCAGACCTCCCGCAACTGCTAACTCTACCATGGCTGCCTCTAGGGAGCAGTTGCATTCAGTTCTCGTGTGCATGTTTAGCTAAACTTGCACGAATGGTGGTGCCCCTGCGGGGAACTTGCTCCTGTGGCTTCTCCTGCTTCCTCAGTGGCAAGACCTGAGGGTAAACACAAAGGACGGAGAGGGCTGGCTTGGTGTCAAGGATCAGGCTGGCCCTTAAGCGCTTGAGATTCTCAGAGAAGCCCTAAGCAGGCCTCAAAGATACCCTCAGCATGTATGTGTACAGTTATTCATATAAGTGGTCCTTAGATCAGTCCCTGAATGTGTGGAGTAACTATTTCCTGCCAGGTCACGGACAAGAAATGAAAGCAGTTGCAAACACTAATGGGAGAGGAACAGGGTCGGAGCACCGTAGACCGCAGTAAGAAACGCACAGGCTCCTGTTTGCCATAAACATCTGCCTTGTGTTGACTTTGTCTCCTCTACTGTAGGAAGAGTTCTAGCACGCAATCAACTCTAACTCTTTAAATGTGCAGTAGCATCTGCAGGCAGTGTTGTGTAGTAGCTCTCCAGGGATTTCTCAGCTCACAAACAACCTCTTTTCTCATTCCATGGACGGCAACTTCCCTTCCCATGTCCCAGCCTGGGCCACCACCTTTCTGTTGTTTCTCTGACTCTACTATAGACAGTTCTTATAAATAGACTCATATAATATTTGTCTCTTCCGTGGCTGGCTTCCTTTAACCTCTGTGGTGCCTTCTAGATCCACTCATTTGTCATGGATGGCAGAATTTCTTCCTTTTTAAAACGGAGTAGCATTACATGTTTATGTAATTTCCATGTTATTTGCCTGTTTATCAATGCACATTTGTGTATCTTGGCTAGTGTGACTAGTTCAATGAACATTAGTGTACAAATCTTTTTAAATACCCCACCTTTAATTCTTTTGGGTGCTCAGAGGTTATGGGATCAATGCTGATTCATTTTCAGCTTCTTTGAGGGGGTTCATGCAGTCTCTCTCAGTGGCTGCACCGAGTTAGAGTCCACCAGCAGTACTCAAGGGTTCGAGTTTCTCCACACTCTTCCCACACTTACCCCTGTTTTGGATGCTGAGAGGCAGGAGGTGATACCAAGTGTGGTTTTCATTTGTATTTCACTGGTTAAAGATACTATCTCTCTATGTAATTCTTGACTAGTTGTAGGGCTTCTTTGGGGGAGGGGAAACAACTCTGTCTAGATCTCCTACGTGTTTAATAAAATCAGTTGTCATCTGGCTACTGACTTGTTTTATTATTTGTATGTTCTGGATATCAGCCCCTTATTAGATTTCTGGTTACAAGTATTTTCTTTCTCATCTTGCGCCTGCCTTTACACTCTGTTAACTTCTTTGCTTTCCTTCACCCCTGAGCCCCTCAACCCCATCCCCCACCCCACCCCATTGCAGGCTCAGGCAGCTCAGGGTGGCTGCAACCCATTGCAGGCTCAGGCAGCTCAGGGTGGCTGCAAACTTTCGCAGCCAAGGCCTTGAACCCCAGGTTCTCTTACTGCTACTCTGAATGCTGGGATTGCAGGTATGATTCAGCACGCCATTCCTGGCTTATCCTTGTCTGTTAAATGCCATTTTCTTTAGATGATAAGGGAAGAGAGGGTAAAGTGACACTGTGTGTGTGTGTGTGTGCAGGTGTGTGTGTGTGTGTGTACAAAGGGTCAATACGTGCATGTGTATAAGGGTGCTTGCTTTTCAGGTCTGCAGGACTAGGGAGATTGTTTGCGTTTCAAGAGTCAGACACTTAAGTAAAAGGAAAGAGTGACGAAGTAGCAAGTAGAGTTTTGTTTTAGGATTTTTGGTTTTGACTTTTTTGTGTTTTGGTCCCCCCCACCCCCACCCCGCCGGGACAAGGTACCTGTCCTGGAACTAGCTCTAGTAGACCAGGCTGGCCTTGGACTCACAGAGATCCACCTGCCTCTGGCTCCCAAGTGCTGGGATTAAAGGCGTGCGCCCCCAAAGCCCACCTCTTGTTTTGGGTTTTTGTTTGTTTGTTTGTTCTGCTATTTCTCCCCCGGGCTACAGCAAGACCAGCAGCCCTGGAGTGATGAGTATTCCTGGGATGAACTGGTGGCTAAATTCTAGCCCATGTGCTCTGCTCAGATCTGGCCTACGGAGATGAGGCCAGGAATAAGCCCCTGCCCTTGGGACTGCGCCAGCGAAGCAGATGAAGGGCCATTGGGATGCTCAGAATTTACACAGGATTCGAGAAGGAATTTCGAATCCTGGAATAGCATTTCTTGATCTAGCATAAATGCTTTCTTAGGAATACTTTTTGACTTCATTATTCCGGGAAAGCATCCCCAAGCCTACATGGCAACATCAGCCTTGGTTAGTAATGCTATAATGTGTTTTGGATTGGGGACTTAGTGAACTCAGTCTATTTTGGTTCATTCACATCTGCCCGAGGACAACATCTGCTCATCATCTGACCCCTGATGTTGCCAGGGATTAGGACGTCCCGCTGCTGGTGACTCACACGTGTAGAGGGGAGATGCCGTTCTTTCTCAGAACCCAAACCCCGTCCCTACGCATCGTTTGTTCTGCCGTGCGCACCCCCATATGCACCCCCGAGAGCCACTACGGTCCTTTGCCAGCCTCACATCTCGTCGGTTGTTCAGCATGTACACGTGGCTGTGGGACTCTCTGCCTGTGCTGGGTACAACTTGAGTCAGCTTGACATAAACTACAGTCGTCTGAGAGGAGGAAACCTCAGCTTCTCAGTTGAAGAATTGCCTCCATAAGATTGGGGCGTAGGCGAGCCTATAGGGCGTTTTCTTCACTAGTGATCGATGGCAAAGGGTCCACCCGTTGTGGGTGGTGCCGTCCCTGCGCTGGTGGTCCTGGGTTCTATAAGAAAGCAGGCTGAGCAATCACTGAGGAGTGAGCCAGTAGGTACTCCTCCTCTGTGGTCTCTGCGTCAGCTCCTGCCTCCAGGTTCCTGCTCTGCGTCAGGATGATGAGCTCTGATTTAGAAGGTGTTAGTGAAGTAAACTCTTTCCTCCCCAAGGTGCTTAGGTTCTGGTGTTTCACCACAGCCAGAAACCCTAGCTAGGACACTTCCCCTTACCTTCATTCCCCCCCCAGTACCCCCGGTCCCTCTTGTACATGTCCAGGCCACGGTGTTCCTATGGGTCCTAGGATAGTCTTGGGATGGTGCTCCTATCCATTCCTTGTCTGCTGGTATATTAATATTCCCAAAGTAAAATTCAGTTCATCTTTCATCGTGTTCAGAGACCTTCAGTGACTCCTCAAAGGTTCCTGGATTGACAAATTTTTTTGGTAGCATTGAGCATGGGTCCGTATTATGTGCGTAGAACTGGTCACACGCAAACATGTGATTAATTTAGGATGAACTAATCGCCAGCTCTACCAGACTGCAAGGTAAACTAGAGTGGTGACGTCACTGTTTTGTCCGTTACCCTGCTACTGTGCCTGCTTGGGGGATGAAAGGGTGCTGACTAAATTTGCTTCGTCCACACTTACCTGTCAATCATTGCTTTTGACATCAGATTCAACTCAGACGATCACGTCATGTTTCCCAGTGCACCCACGCTCTCTCCCCTTAGGTCTGTCCGTATGGCTCTGGGTTACTGAGGCAGCGTGGTCCTCTGGTTAAGAACGGAAGCAACAACCCCCACAGCCCATTTCAGGCTGTTTCAACCTCTCGCTGGCTGTTTATAGGATACGGGGAAGTTTCTCGGCGCCTGTGAATCTCAGTTTTCTCATCTACGAAATGCGACTCTATTAATTGCGTCTGATAGTGTTGGGTGTGGAAGAGGTGAGCCCATGCTCACTCAGCGCGTGTCCAGTGCTAATCACGCTGTACCATGTGCTGGGCTCTGTATACTTGTTCTCCTCCTCTTAGCAGCCCAGAAGGAAAGGTCGGCGGCTCCATTTTAGAGACGAAGGAAGGGAACTCGGAAAGACCAGTTACTTAGAGCTGGTTGCTCAAATACCAGCAGGATCCGGTCACAGGTGCTCTGCTGCCTCTGGCCTTTTCCACACACCAAGGGAAGAGCTTTCCAAGGATCCCCAAGATGCCGACATTCCAGAGTGGGGTTCTCTTATTCCCACCGTGTCTGGAATCTCCTTCCACGTGCCTTGTATTTGTTCATTGTCATTGGTCGGGTGACTAGAGTCCTGGGGTTGTGGCCCCACTTGGGACTTGGGCTTGAGAGAGAAGGAGAACAAACTGAATTATTACAGGGTGATGTCGTCTACATGCCTTCTTTCTCTTCACTTTCAGAGAGTGGGCATACAACCGTTGCCATCTGGTTCTAGGGTTTTTGTTTCTTTAACCCTTCAGCAGAACGGTCCCCATGCCAGCAACATTTCAGCGTGGGTCTGTGGAGTCTGAAGCTCTGCTGTGAAGGACAGTGGAATAATACTGAGCGGGAACCCTACAGCGAGTCCCCTGCACGGCGGCAGTCCCACGGGAGGGGACCCAGGCCCTAAGCACAGAGCTCGGAGCTTCATTTACATGATTAACTTGTTCCCTCTGGAGCTGGAGGTGCTGGCTGCTCACGCCTGCTTCTGTTCCGCTCATCCCAGGTTTCCACTCTCTGCACACGCTCCTTGGGGTACACTGTCTCCCTTTGTACAACCTGCTGCACTACATCGACAACGGGGTGCTGCTACTCACAGAGACTGCGGTCACCAGGCTTATGAAGGGTAAGCAAGTCTGAGTTGACCACAGGGGGTTTCAGGGCTGACTTCTGGGCGTGTGACACTCAGTCCGCCACTCAGAGGGCCCCACGCACAACTTAATGTTCTGCAGTAAGATAGTTAAGTTGTTTGTGAGACAGGGTTTCTCTGTGCAGCCTTAGCTGTTCTGGAACTCACTCTGTAGACCAGGCTGGCCTCGAGCTCACAGAGATCCCCTTGTCTCTGCCTCCCAAGTGCTGGGATTAAAGCCGTGTGCTACCACTGCCTTGAAGGTCTTATTATTTGAGCATCTGTCTATTTTCCCCATTTACTACAAATTCTTAGCACAGCCCACTTCCTAGAACCTCCCTTCAGGCCGGTTGACAGTTCTTTAGCCCTTCGGGAGGCCCCGGAGAACTGAATCCTTTAGTTTTTTTTTTTTTCTGTATATAGAGTTTTTACTGTGAAGAGACTATATACATGAAGTTTCTGTATATGACGTTTTTACTATGGGAGACTCTGAATTTGTTTTTCAAGAAAGTATTGCGAATGGCTTACTTTCAGCTAACCAATTTTGTCACCTTGAATTAGACTTGGAATGCATGAAAAACCAATGAGAGACACAGCGCTTGCATGAACCTGAGCCTTAAGGTCCACCTCGTAATCTTTCCCATGGAAGCCATTCAGTCACGTGTGTGTGTGTGTGCGTGTGTTTTGCTAATGTTGTCAAAGCACCTGCCGTGTTCTCCAGCCGGCCTCTCGCTTTCAGTTAGTGGGTGGAATTGCTCGATGGCCTGTTGCAAATAAAAGTCCCCATAACTCTGAATCACAAGCAAAGCTTTCAGAACATCATTAGTCGTGAACTCAGGGCTGGAACATCTCAGGAGGAAGGGTTCATGGTTTAAAATTCGCTGCAGTATTAAAATGGATATCTCCATCTTATTTGTTAATCCCCAACTCTCTTGTAGATCTGGACAATTCAGAGAAGAATGAACAGCTAAAGTTCAGCATCATCGTGCGGCTCCCTCTGGTAATCCTAAAATTAATTTCCTCTCAAGCCTCGTCCACCCTCCTGCCATGTGTCTTGTAAAAAGACAGTTCCCTTGTAGGTAGAGGTCAATTGAGTGGGCCCTCTTTTCAGCCTTTTCCGTGAGATTCCATCCACCCCCACCCTGTGCACAGCGGGTGCTTCTCGGGTTGGCTGCGTTGGCAAGGTGGTTGGCTTGGTGCGTTGGTTGGCTAAGGTCTTCTCTTAGGCAACCACGCCGATATTTACATGGAGTCTGAGTGGGAGGCAGAGGGGAAACACGTGCCTTTGACATTGAAACTGATAAGGCTCTGAGCACAGGTGAGGCCGGGAGGTTCTGGAAGGTGTTTCCTCCTCCTCTTACATTTCTGAGCACAGGCAGGCATTACCCAGCCAGAGGAAGAACAAAAGCACAGGAGGAAAATGTCAGGAAAGCGCTCACTCCTTGCTCTTTGGTGGGGTATTAGCTCTCAGGGTCAGCAACATGAAAACATGAAATTCCACAGCAAGGTCTTTCGGGCCCCTCACTTTGCAAACTTCCTGACCCTAGAACCTGGCCAGTGTGCTGTTTACATACCAAGAGCACGGGGTCTCTGGCACTGGCCATCCTCCGCCCCGTGGCTTTCTGGATCTGGTGGCTTTGCCTTGTGGCTGTCCTTCCTGTCACAGGCTTCCTGAGAACAAAGTACCCACCTTTCCCCTGGCTCTGACTCCCAGAGGAACAGTGTTGATATAGTTTGGTCTCCAAATTTGACCTTTTTGCCCCTATGATTTCGAGTATTTAAAGTTTCTGGGACAGATAATGGAAGAGAGACCAACGAAAGCTCACCAGCCACCGCTAGCTTCCTGTCAGAGTGTCACTCAGGGCTGCCATGCTTGTCTCCGGCTCGGAAGGATCTCAGACCCAACGTCGTTCCAGGAGAAAAAGGAAATTGGCGGTATAGCATTGATGCCAAAGTTGCTCTCCTCAGGTTGAAGAAAGCTGAGGGAGGGTTTACGAACACTTCAGAAGGTATCTCTTGAGCTTGGCCTTTCTCCAACGGCCGTGAGTCAGGGAGGTTCTACATCCCTTTAGGAATATCATGTAGAAGTCAGAAGCTGGTATGTGGTCTGTTCCGTGCACTATGACCTACGCTCTCCTCTGTAATCTTCATCCACGCTCTAGTGTACCGGGCAGAAGGTCTTCCGGCTTTGGGACCATCCCATGAGCTCCAACATCATCTCCCGGAATCACGTGGCGCAGATGCTCAGGAGCTACAAGAAAGAGGTGAGCCTTGGTAACGTCCAGACAGTGAGCGTTGCGTGGACCCCACCTGCATGCCCCGATAGACGTGATTCTGTTTTCTATGGTTCTGTTTAAAGCTGGCTGTGTCTTCAAGAAGCGGTTCGTATATAGGGAGTTTTTTCTCTTTCAGCCTCGAAACTCTATGATTGGCAAGTCATCGTTCTCAACAGAATTTCTGCCTCTGAACTACTTCATTGACATTCTGGCAGGCCTGGAGTCCTCACACCAAGGTAGTCCACTCCTCCGTCTAACCTAGGAGTTCCCTTGTCATGTTGGTCATTCCCAAGTCACAGCTCGATCTGTCTCCTTCCTTACTAAAACTGTTTTTCATTAGCGAGAATACCATACTTCCTACATTACCCGAGGAATCCTTACCTTTGACGATCTAAAGGGGCTCGAGGTGTTTAGGGTCTGTTCTGGTTGATGTGAATGTTCTTCAGTGCCAAGCTTTAATGAAATCAACACTTTTTTTTTTTTTTTTTGACTGATAGCAGGGGAACCTGCATAGGACCAGACTAGGCCCTCTGAATGTGGGTGACGGTTCTGTGACTTGGGCAGTCTGTGGGGACATTGGTAGTGGGACTAGGATTTATCCCCAGCGCATGAACTGGCTTCTTGGAGCCCATTCCCTATGAAGGGAAACCTTGCTCAGCCTCCATATGGGGGGAGGGCTTTGGTCCTGCCTCAACTTGATGTGCCAGACTTGGCAGCCTCTCCGTGGGAGGCCTGACCCTTTCTGAGGAGGGGAGGGGGATGAGGGATGAGGGTGTGAGAGGAAGGGAGGGAGGGGGAACTGTGGTTGGTATGTGAAATGATGTCCCCGCGAGCTGTGTAAATCAGGCTGCGGGTGGCCATGGCTCCACAGCGACTCTCTCTCTCCCTTCCGCAGCTTCGAGGGATTTTGAAGGCCATGACAGCGTGGATGCAGACTTTGTCGAGGAAGCTGCTCTGAAACACACCTCGGTGCTCTTGGGTTTATGAAAGTCAGCGTGCAGATGGTCTGCGTTCAGCGTCTCAACGCTGTTTCCCCCCCGCCTTTCCTGGGAATTCTTTAGTGCTCCTTCAGAGCAGTAACAGGTCAGAATATACCGCGGAGCTCCTCGGGCTTCGGTTTAGGTCTCGTGAAAACTGAGCGTGTCCGCACCCTGTCCAGTGGGAGCAGCCAGAGAACAGTCAAGAGTCAAGATGTGTGGCAGGAACAGTGCTCTTCCTGGCGGCTCAGTGGGCCAGGAGCTAGTTCTGCTGCGTTCCGGGATCAAGTAAAGAACAGAGGGCACAATGCTTTGAACGGGAAGAGCTAGATAGACCGCTGGAAATAACATAAAGCGAGCAGAAAAATTAAATGTTGCAAAGAGGATTTAAGAAGAACCTGGGTTTGGACTAAACAAGACCTGCCATTTCCAGCACCGAGTAACTGTGACAAACCGCATTTGTGCGTACAGGGCGTGAGCAGCCTCTGCCTGTGTGGTGGTTCAGAGGGATGTGTATTTAATGTTTGTATTAACGGAAGTCTGATTTAACAATGCCTTCTCATTAAACATGACCTCCAGTGCGTAAAGCTGTGGTCTGACTCTTCGCTAAGTTCTGAGCATAGCCTTTTATTAGCACGGGGCGTGGTGAGCCCATCGGTACGTTCCTGCAGGGCACATGACACATGCCAGGACACTTGAGATCCTTTCTCACCTGTGTCCTACGTCAGGGTCACCCTCACTCACAAGGCTCGACTTCCCCATTCACTTCTGCTTTTCTCCTTTCTGCCGTTTACCTTCCCCGTGGTGAAAGTTTAATGACTCTAAATGTCGCCAGCTCGCATGCCAAGCCGCCTCATCTTCTGCTGCCTCTGTTGTCTCTGGAAGCTGCGCCGGCCTGTAGGATGTCTCTTCTTGCTTCAGATCAGCCAGGCGTGGGATATGTTGGCAATTGTTCAGCATTGTGGAAACGCTGTCTATCTGTATTACTTCTCTTACAAATAACTGTCCTGGAGAAGGCAGATTTTATTTAGTTCAAATTAAATGAAAAATCCTGTTTGCAAGTAAGATCCTTACAGAACACCTGTGTTTTTAGCCCTTCATCCCGTTTTGCTCAGTTCACTTCCTTCCTCTCATTCTTTGCCTTCGCTTGTTTCTGTTCACACCTGCGTTGTTCCTTTGATTTCCCTAAGCTGAGCTTATTTGACACATTGTTCAGGTAAACATTGGTTTGACTTGAACACTTGGCTCGTAATTATTCAATAACTTGCTATTCGCCAAAGGATAACATGCAAACTCCTTGGCATTTAACTCTGAAGTTTTGACCCTGTAAAATATGAACATCCTTTTGCAGCCAAGCCGAGTCACTGGGTCTTAGAACATGAGTTTGGCCTTCTTATTTCTAAGGTTGGATCAAGTTTCTTCCTCCACTTGGACTTCCTCTCTCTACCTCACAAAAACATCACTTCGTGCTCTAGGGCTAGACAAACACACTCGCACACGCGCGCACACACACGCGCGCACACACACCTGACTATAGGCCAAGACATGTCAGCACCTGGTAGCATCTGCCTTTTCTCAGCAGCACACGCTGCAGTGTTTGAGAATCCACCCCTTTCCATTCTTATGGCATTTAAACTCCCTCTCTGCATGTTTTGAATCCTTAAAGAGCTTACTAGCTCCCATGACACAGGAACCGCTTAGGGGTACAGTATTTCTTTTATTAGCTAAATGGCTCAAACAGCTGAAGGCTCTCACAAGCTTTTTGCTTCACCACGATCTGCACAACAAGGAGACCAACTTCAGGACTCACAAGATGGGAGTAATTTATATTTACTCTTCCGGTGTGGCAGGACCTAGGGGGCTTGTTATTTTATTTAACAAAATAAAAGTATGGTATTTCTCTGTCTCCCAGAACTGGACATGAATAAAATTCACAATGGCAACCAGCACAAAATAAATAGCTTAAACATATTAGTAAATGTTCAAATACAGGTTTCACATACTAGTGAATCGTCAAGTCTAACAAAAGCACTGGAATCAGAAAAATACATGAAGTGAAAATTGGAGCAAATTAGTAAAACTATTCCTACAGTTTTATATGAGGGCAGAATTTTTGCAGAGATCTTGAAAATCAGGTATCAGAATTTAAAATGTTCATGAACTTGTTTGTGAAAATGCACTTTTAAGAAATGAATCAGGACTTAAGTATTTTTGCAGCAAAAAGAAAAAAAATCCCTGCACAATTGAACTGCAGTAGTGTTGCTTGAGCAGCAAGCTTTCCCATTGCTCCATACAGGGCTTCAGGTGCTGCTGCAGAGGGGACAGTCAGGTGTCTCCTGTCGGGTGTCTCCTGTCGGGTGTCTCTTGTGTGTCTCCTGTCGTGTCTCCTGTCGGGTGTCTCCTGTCGTGTGTCTCCTGTAGTGTGTCTCCTGTCGGGTGTCTCCTGTCGGGTGTCTCCTGTCGGGTGTCTCTTGTGTGTCTCCTGCCGGGTGTCTCCTGTCGGGTGTCTCTTGTGTGTCTCCTGTCGGGTGTCTCTTGTGTGTCTCTTGGGCTACTTCCCCCTTCAGGCAGTCAGTACCTGTTTTTCCTTTAATAGAAAAGACCACTCTAATTTCTGTGTGTCTCTGAGAAGTTATTTATTTTGTATTTTTACAGTGTTTTCTCTACTATACATTCCTGAAATGTAGTCGACATAAACAGTAAAAAGGAAAGACATGAGCAATGAAAATACACTCTAATTGTAGTCTGTGCTCCATTTGATGTCACACAGCGTGGACTGGTTGGCGAACGTGAGAAGCGTGTCTCACTCCCTTGTTGACTGTGCCCAACTGATGGCAGAATTAGGACCCTGGTGGTCATTCCCCACTGCAGGTCTGGTGAAGCCTGGACCGGTCCACGTGCTTAGATCTCAATGGGCTTCACCACAGGCTTCCTTATGTGCCTTCTGTTGGCTCCAGTTTCGGAGGGCTTGAATGGAGCCAGCGCCCCGTAGGGTTTGGGCAGAGGAAGCGTGGTTTCTACTTCAGGCATGTAGGCATTGGGGCGCTGCTCTGCCGTTGTGTAAACACCATTGGGCAGCTGCCGGTAATCTGTTTCCATGTATTCCTGCAAATGGAGGAATTTCAGTTTATTTCAATTTTCTTTAGGCACTGAACTTACTTCTCCTTGGGTCCTAAAGTGCAGCCTTTAGCTCTGCTGGCTGATACTCACCTGTAGTTGGTTTTTATTTTTACTCTTTGGGGGCCACTACCCAGCTCCCAAATAAATACACAGAGACTTATTTATGAATGCCTGGCCTTAGCTTGACATATTTCTAGCCAGCTTTTCTTAAATTATCCCATCTACCTTTGCTTCTGGGCTTTTTACCTCTCTTTATTCTATATATCTTACTTCCCTTACTTTGTGGCTGGCTGTGTGGCTGTGTGGTTGGCCCCTGGCATCCTCCTCTCCTTTTCTTGCTCCTCCTCCTCCTTGTTTATTCTCTCTGCCCACCAGTCTCTCTCCTGCCTCACTGTTGGCCATTTAGCTCTTTATTAGACCAATCAGGTGTTTTAGGCAAGCAATCACAGCTTCACAGAGTTAAACAAATGCAATACATCTTTGCATCATTAAACACATTCCACAGTGTAAAAGAATGTAACGTATCTTAAAATAATATTCCACAACCTTCGGCAGAGGGGATGAGGACAGGAGCGGGACCCGCCCCACCTCTGTGGCCTGTCGCCTGCATGGGTGTGGGCATAGCTCAAGCACCATGCTGATGCTGGGACTCGGTGTGGGAACCCTTGTGCGGTGGGTTCCACATGCACCGTCCTTCAGCTCACAGTCTGTGGTTGAGCTCTGTTGGTTCCACAGCGTTGACAAAGGCAGCCAAGCTTTTCCTTTGTCACTGGGGGCAAATGTTAAAGCAGAAACGATTGGAACGGAAGCATAGGGAATGGCAAGCTGTGTGGTTTAATCTCAGGGTCAATGGTCTGCCCGTGCTCACGGGAAACAACTCCCCTGCAGCACTAATGTGAACTATATGGTAGAGAAAGACAGAGGGACGCCATGGGGGGACACCACGGGGGAACCCCAAGTGCCCTAGGAAGGGTGGTCCAGAATTATAAGCCAGACCGCATGCTCAGGTGTTCCTACCATGTCTTTGAAAGTGAAACAAGACCCTTGCGAACCATTCATGTGGCAGTCTGAGCAAACTGTCCTCATGGTGTGGTCATCTGGACAAGAGACGCCTCGTTCTAATCTTAAAACTATCGAGCCATCATGGAGTTATATGGATGAATGAGGAACCGAACTTGCCGGTGCCTTCTGTGACCAACCAAGACCTTGGTCGCTGGGGAGGAGAAAGGGGTGGCATGGGGGTCTATGACACATACCAGGTGTGGTTCTGTCGAAGGCTGTGGTAGCCATAATATGGCTGTGGAGACCGTGACAGATGGGCATGGAAGAGTCAGGTGTGGTGTGAGCAAGTGTTGGAGGACAGATAAAGCCATGTTAGAGGTAAAGCCAATGTTAGGGTAGTCATAGACCTGCTGGGGGAGGCCATCGTGTTCAGACGTCACAGTCCACAGTACGACTGTGGGCTGGGCCGTGGTGCTTGTCAGGTGTTCTTCGGGGAGGAAGGCGGCGCTTTGGACTACTAGTACAAAGTCTTCTCTACACACCAAACCCCTTTATACTCGCCATTCATTCATGTGCTGGAGCGGGAGACTTTCACACACAGGTTGAGCATGCCTACAAGCAAACTCTGAGGTCCAAAAGGTTCCAAACCTTTTGAGGGTTGATATGACGTCAAAAGTAGATAATTCCACACCTGACATCCTATTATGATTGCAGTCCAAATACAAATATACTAAAATGTCATATTAACATCACCCATGTGTATGAAGTATATATGAAACAAATGAATCTGGGATTTAAAGTTGGGCCCCACTCCCCAAATATCTCATGAAAATCACAGAACATTCAAAGCATCTCCTCTACCAAGCCTTTCAGGTAAGGGGCCATCCACTGCATCATGCGAGGACAGACTCCTAAGGCAACTTCTCCCGGCACACGGCGCAGCGTGGGCGTCAACACTTACCCGGGACTTCTCAGCGGTGGCGAAGGCATACATTTCTTCGTCTCGGAGAACCTTCAGCCAGTCCTTCTCGATTTCTCTGTTGAGTGGCAGGCCCTTTTCTATCCTGGAACCGCAGGAGAAGATGAATTCTTCTTTCTCCCTCACCTCCTTCTGGAGTTCAATGGTCAGGGCTTGCTTCATGGACAACTCGGCAACCAGGGCCATCATTTTCTCAGTAGCATCTTTGATCCGTTTTTGGTAGCCGTTCATCTAGAAGTGGCAAGGCCGAGGTTAGTTCGTAGAGGTGTTCCGTGAGGATGCAGAGAAACAAGAGACTTCTGGCTGCCTGGTGTGGGCAGTCCTCCCTGGAGGAGCGAACAACTGACCCGGATTCACAGGACTGAGCCTGCTCCGCTCTCTCCTCTGTTGCCATGAAAAAGCATTGACAGAAGAGACTTGTGGAGAAAGGGCCGTTGGCATACGCTTCTGTTATTGAGGGAAGTCAGGGCAAGAATCCAAGCAAAGACCACAGAGTACTAATCCTGCCTATTGGTTTATTCTCTGATTCATTTATTGGGTCGTGCTCAGCTAGCTGTCATAGGAAGCCTTCATCTGACTGCCACAGAGGGCTAGGCCCCCAACAAACAACAGCCATGGCATCCTCTTATTGATCTAGGCAGCAGATGTTCCTTCTTCCCAAGTGACTATAGGTTGAGTCTCATTGGCAAAACTAACCAGGATAGAACCCAATGTTTGGTTATGTCAATAAGGAAAAACAAAGAAATAAAAAGGCTTATCTTCCAGGTTGGAGAGCACTGAGGGCTGGCTAGCTTAGTGTTTGTTTTTAAGAGGAAAGGAGGAGAGGGGAATGTTCTCCATGCCTAAGTTCTCGCCGACTCATAAGCCTTGGCTGTAATGATAATATGGGTGTATCGGTTTGAGGCCTTCCAGCTGTCTGAGGGCCTTTCTGGCCCCTCTGCTCTGTGTTTCTCTAGTATTACAAGTAATTTCCAGAGATTCTGCCATCAGCTTTGAGAAATCGCCTTTCAATAAAAAAGTGACTTTCTCTCAAGAGAGGGAAATTCATTTTGCAAAGGAAAGGAAGGAGATGTTTACAGACACCTGGGGGAGGGCGCTAATTCAGACAAAGCCCATTGGCTTAAATGAGTCTTACCGTGTCTTTGTGTACGAGGCCCAATTGTATACACTATGGCCACTGGGCTCACCAGTGCAGACGTGCAAAGGCCACACGTAAAGGTGTTTTCACCATTTTAAGGCGAATTTTTTCAGGCATTTCCAATATAACTTGGCAAAGCTGTCTCTAGCACCGGGCTCAATGTTTACTCACTCCTTCTCATTTCTCTAGCATTTATTACAAGCAAGGAACTGAGAAGCTAAAAGAGGAAGAGGTCCTACCCTCGGGAGCCCAGTCTGGGGTATCAGAACCTTCACCCTCATAGACAGGGCAGCTGCACTCAGGGGTATGGATGTTGACCCAGTCACCCTCGTTTATTTCCTCCTTTCTCATGTTGCCTAGAGAGTGTGTGCCCTTTGGCTCTATGCGTCCGCCTCAGGTGTGGTCTTTGTGACAGGACGTAGCAAGTGTTCAGTAGCTTCTGCTAAGTGTTAACGCCCTCTTCTGGAGGATGCTCAAAGAGCCCACAGAAGCCAGGCAAGAGCACCATCCTCTACGGTCATGGATGATTCTGCCGCCTGTAGCCATTGCCTCCCTCCTGCCAGCTGTTGCTGTTAGTAGTGCCGCCCTTAGCGGCTTCAAGTCTCCAGCCAGCCTAGGGATTGTGTGGCTGCTGCTGTCTGTTGCCAGGGACGGAAAGAAATGGAAAGGGTTTTACTTTGTACACCAACTACAAAGGTAACGTTGGTTATATTTGAGAAGTTCTCTTGCTAACTTAAGTGCTTCTCGCCCTTGAGAAGCTTGGGCTTCCTTCCTGTGAAGTGGATTCGCTCAGGGAGCTGAGTTCAGGACTAATATTTACATTTTGCTGTATTTCTAAACTCATAAAGCTTCATCTCGCTAGTGTTTCTCAACAAGCTAAGAGTGGGAAGCAAGAGGTGATAGCGGAAGTTGGGGCCGGGACAGGGCGAGGGGTGGGTGGGGAGATGGATTTGCTCAGGCAGACCTTCTTGGCCAACAGCAGCGTGTCCTCCTTGCAGGTCTGGGTTTTGCCTCTGAGCCTGTTGGTGAGCTGGGACACATGCTCATAGATGGACTCCTTCTCCAGTAACTTCTCCTCCTTCTTGGCCAGCTGAAGCTCCAGCTGCAGTTGGAAACGATTTCAGCAGGAGTTAAGAACCACTTGTGTAAGGCACGGTCTCATTCGCAGCCAATCCTCCACCACATGACAGAGACACACTGCTCTCTGAGCTGTGGAAATACCTCTGACAGTCCCCGGAGCTGGGCCCTGTCCGGAGGCACCCCTGGGAGCTCTTCTGCCCTGGGTGGACAATGGACCTCTGGCTCTTTATGGTACCCACAATGCCAGTCTTTCCAGATATCCCCACCAGGATGATCAATTAACATATTCATTCAAGAAAACAAAATGAGTTATCGGACTAGGAAAGAAGCGTGCCTTTGAACGTTCAGACTACTGATATTTACTTCCTTGGGTAAATATCTGAATCGAAGGTAGGATTTAGGACGCATCACAACTAGGGAGCAGCTAGTGGCTAGAAGAATGAAGAAGGACGGGTCTGCCAAAGGGGAAACAGTACCGCTGCCTGTGTGAGCAGAGAGGCGTGTTCAAACAGGGCATTTACCATGTCTAACTTCTTGACCATTTCTTCTTCGGTCAGGTCTTTCCCGGGAATGAAGCGGATTCTGCCCTTGCTGTCGGGGTTGATAAAGCGTTTCTCCAGGCTTTTGATTCTGTCTGCACACTGGGAGAACTGTTGGACAAGAAACACACGTCAGCTTTAATGTGACTGACTCTTCAGATGGTGTGGGCAGGATCATCGGTGGCGCTACACAGATGCTGTGTGGAACGGACCCTGCACGTCTGTCTGTCTAGAGAGAAGGCTGAATCCCCAGCCCTTCCGTTGCTCCCAATTGCGTGTGCCATTCATGGGCTGCTGTGTGGCTAAGGGCTCAGAGTGGTCCTTGCTACCCCACTACGGGTGTTTCAGAGACAGGGGCAGCGGGCAGGCAGGGATCTGGATTCCTGCATTGGCGGTGGCCTTAATGATGTCCCACAGAAGGAAGTTAGTTATCAGGACAACACAGCACGTGCTCTGTGACATGTGTCCTCTTTGCTGAAGAGACTCTCAATAGATAGCAGCCCTGGCATCACTGAGACACAGAGGGGGACGGCGTTCACAAGGACGACAGTCACCCTCACCCTTAGCTTCCAAAGGGGGAGGGAGCACCGTGACAACCCTTCCTACCATTTGTGTAATTGCTTTTCAGGGACTTTTGGTTTTTCATGTGGCAGTCGGCGAAGATGAGGCTTGATCCCATGGGGTAAAACAATAGACTATTGTAAGGTGGTTCTCAGCCTGTGGGCCATGGCCATTGGGGAATACCTACTTCCAGTACGCTCAGGAACCAAGACACTGCTCGGGGGCAAGATTCCAACAAGACTACCTTTATGGTTGGGGTCAGCACAACACGGGGGACTGTACTAAAGGGTCGCAGCGCGGGAGGGTCGAGAACCGCGCTTTGGTGCTAGAGATCACACTCAGGAGTGACACAGTCAAAACTTTAGAGTTTCAGTTGGTGGCACTCTTCTCTGTAACAAGAGTTTTAAGTGGTGACATTTAAAAACAGTGACAGAAATGATTAGTAGTAACACCTCTTGATGTTTCCTTATTTTCATAATGAGGAAACTAAGAAATAAATATGGGGCTCTCTGATCACAACCTGTGCCTACAGAGGGCTGGACGGATGCCTCGCGGGGAATTGGCTGCTCCTGCAGAGGACCTAGCTTCAGCACCCACACGGCAGCTCACAGTCATCCATAGCTCTAGTTCCAAGGGGTCTGGTACCTCCTTATGATCACTGTGGGTGCAAGGTGTGCGTGTGGTGTGCATGTACACACGTGCAGACGAAATCCTCACAGCCACTAAACAAAACCAGACTAATGCCTCCCCTTAACTCTCCCACTGGGAACTTAAGGGCACGGGCTCCACTTTCCATATGAAAACAATGTTCTTGTGTCTTAACACTAGCTCACGGGATTTCCAGGACTGCTGAAATGGATCAGTTTACTACAAGGTCCAGGAGAACATGATTCATGATAACTCTTGGGATATGGGACAATTAAAATCTGTTTCAAAATAACCAAAAAGCAAAAAGCAATCTGAAAATGATGCAAAACGGAAAAACGACAGAATGCAAGAACTCAAGATGGGCACCAGGCTGCCATAAGAGCCAAGAGCTGGAGCACAGCGGGCAAGCGCGGCCTGCCCTACGCACGCGCGGCATTTCACACCCTGTCTCTCCAGGCCCGCAGTTGGCATGGATACAATCACGTGTCAAGTGCAGTTTGAGAACGAATGGGTGCCTTTCTACACAGCTGCTCCCAATCACGTATGGCCCACAGGTATCAATGTATAGGCCGCCAAGATGATAGCGGCGTGCCGTCAGACATGGTGTATAGCAACATGAAATACATAACAGGTCTGTCTTGTTAAAAGTGAATTCTTATTTCACTGTAGGTAGCTGCTACTTCTAAGAATGAGTAGTTTTTATTATCAAATCTTCTGAATTATGCAAATGTCAAAAACACACAAAAGAGAAAATAACGTGAACTTGCACACAGTTCTCTCAGCTTCAGCATTCCCAACACGGCTGCTCCAGCTCCCTCCTCCATCCACGCCTCCATGACCTCCAGCACCCATAGGACCACACATCATCCAGGCGCCTCGGCGCGAGTAGTTGAAATTGAAAAGGCAGAAGGCGGGGCTATTGTCAGGTGAAAAGTGGTTTAGGAGAACTCAATAAATGGGAAGAAGGAAGGTTAGCATGGTCCGGTGGACGGCAGTGCTGATTTGCCGCTAACCTCAAAAACTGTGCCTCTGTAATAGAGAATCTGGTCCGTTTGACAACTTGGTAAAGCCCCTTTTGTTGGGCATCCTGGTGTTGCTCAAGGGCAGAGACAGACCTGAAGCTGTGTATTGGGAAAGAGCTGGAGAAAGCCCAACTCTTCTGTAAAACGGAGCGTGCTAAGTCGAGAGTCTCAGGTGCCCTGCAGGATGGTGAGCCTGGAGGCGAGTGGAACAGAAAGGCTGCAAAGACAGCCATGAGACACAGACCATCTGGAAAGCCTGCACAGTGATGGCGCGAATCCAGAAAGCTTTGAGGGGTATGGGTTTCTGAGGTCTAGCATGAAGTTCTTTGCGTCTCTGGAATGTAGCCTCCCACACTGCTCTCAGAGACATTCAGTGAAACCTGTCAAGGGCCTTGCACACCCGGTGTTGTGTGGACTGAAGAGGACACCCATCCATAGTCTACCCTGGAGGAGCCCAGAAATGGAGCAGGTGCTGTGTGCAGGCTGCCCATTGGTGGAAGTTGGCGTCAGAGCCAGGGAATAAGGGGGAGATTCTCCCAGAGCCTTGGTGGAGGGGGGAGCAATCCAGTCAGTTGTCCTGAATGGGAGCAGCTGTGGCTAAAAATCAGGCGAGCGTGGCTATAAATGACCCTGACGTAGCTGCACAGCTGGAAGATGCTATCTGTCATCTATATAGAGTTGATCTATCCCAGCCCACTGAGGTACGGAAGCCGACCCTGTGACCACGCCCACAGATCCTTCCCGTGAGCTAAAACTGCAGCTAAAATGTGCGCAGAGAAAGGAGACTCGCTCTTAGATTTCTGACTGCTATTCTCGGGGACAGAATTTCTTTCTCTTTGTCATTTTGTTCTTTTTCTGTTTTGATTAACTGAATGCACCTTAATTAATAAGCAGAAATAGAATCCCCAAACAAGAGTGACACTTTAGAATGCGGGGTGGGATTTGTTCCTGCGACCCTGCTTGAGTCAGTGGGGAAAAGCATGGGTCACAAATATGTTGGCCCAGTTTTTTCTAGTTCATTAAAGTCTCGTGGTAGAGAAAGTCTACCCTCATTTCAGTCTTTGCTGCTGGGGACCACGGAGGTGAATGAAGCGTGCAGGCTGAGGAGCGGCAGGGCAGTGCTGAGCAGGCCATTCCTCCCTCCCCTGACCGTCAGAAATGCTCGCTGTGGCAGCATTTCCCGTCATCTCCGCGCTCAGCAGGCTGAGGCAGAGAGGTTGCCATGGGTGTAAGACTAGCCTGGTCTATACAGGCATCTCAGACCAGCAAAGGCTATAAGACCCTGCCTCGATAAGCCAGGGGGACTAAACGTCACATCTAGGTAATCTCCAGCCACATCAGTGCCAAAATTAGGCTGCAGGTAGTGAGAGCCTAGATCTCTCTGGATGGAGCTACAGGAATGGTGAACTAGGGCTAAATCTTGGGATGGTCCAGACCCCAAGAAACAGACGATGCTTCGTGGGAAAAACATAAAACAAAACAAAACAAAAAAAACAAACAAACAAACAAAAAAAAAAAACAAACAAAACCTATGTAGCTCAGATTCCCGAAACCCCATCCTGGAGCAGCGTTCAGAGTCGGCTTCAAACATCGTACAACGTGAAGCTGTGGCGTGGCTTCCACACAAGAACCCGTATCGTCTAAAACTAACAAGGGGAGAGAGACGAGCCAGCGGCTGAGGGAGGCGCCCCGACCACTCACCCACCTGGATCTGCAACGCGGCCAGGTCGGCGTCAAGGGCCCTCTTGGTGGGCAGCAGCTTCTGTGTCACGCAGATCTGTCTTTGCTTTTCGGCGATCTTCAGCTTCAGGAATCGGATTTTCTCATCCAGGATGTGGATTTCGACATCGCCGTGGAGTTTCATCTTCTCTTGGATGTTTATCTTCTCATAAAAGATGCACACTTCTTCCTCACGCTCGATCAGCTGAACGCCACTGCCGTCAAGTTCAGAGCGAGGGTCTGAGTGGTGCCGAGGCCTCTGTCCCACCTCCTGTGGTTCCCTCTGGCTTTGGGCTCACAACGTACAGCAACACAACAGCATCTCAGAGGACAGTGCCGTGCCCCAGTGGGTAGCTAGTTAAGCTCTGCACACTGGATCTTCCTGGGGGTAGGACTGGCATCTCCATCCTAAGGCCAGTTTACAGCAGGGTGGCCACAGATTGACGAGCCCTGGTTTCCCTGGGATAGGGGAGTTCGCTCCCAATATGAGCACAAAGCAAAACCCAAGGCTGATTTTTCTGCGCATATTTTTTTGGGCCAAACTTGCCAAGCAGGGTTTAGCTAGAAGCCCTAGGCAATGGCCCTGGGAATGGAATTCTGAGGGGAGTGGCCAGGCCCATAAGGTTCTGTGAAAAGTGAGTGTTCTTTTGCCAGATCCTCAGTACCCCGCCCTTTGTAACCTTACCTCTCCCTGGGAGGAAGCCACGGCATAGACACACTGGGAGACCCCCCCCCCCGGCAGATTTGGTTTAACCAGGGCCTGACTTTGACTTGTGCCAGGAGCCAAATAGGATTTTTTTCTTAACCCAGAAGAACATTCGTTAGCCTTTTGAAAACGTTCTGTTTGTCGAGGACCCTAAAGATATTCCCACGGCGTCCGTATCCATTACCACAACTGCCACCTTAATCTTTCTAAGCTTGCCCTTCGCTCCGACCCTACTGCCGTGCAGCTGTGTGTGTGGCTGTGCCTGGCTGACCTTAGTTCTCCACCCGCCCCATCGGTTTGTCCCTCAGAATGGCTTCTTATCAAATCCCCTCCATGACAAAAGCCAATGGTAAGGCTTTACCGTCCGGTACCTTCGGGCGCTAGCACTCCAATGCTTTATAAGAAACCCCACATGAATTTCATGAAATCTGAATTGTTTCTGAACATCTCACCTGTCAGTTTCTCATAGCACCAGCAGCCGTGGTGGGTGGGGCTATTAAAGAGTCACCCTGCCAAGGGCATGCTTGCAGGCTGGAGGAAATGCGCCCTCTCCTAAGCCTCTGTTACTTATGGGAGGATGGGCCGATGAAGACAAACGCTGCCCAAATGGATAGACATTACAGAGTGGACTCGCATCGGCTGATCCAGAAGGACTCACTGTTACCCTAGAGCAGTGGTTCTCAACCTGTGCGTCATGACCTCTTAGGGGGTTGTATAGCAGATATTCTGAATATCATATATTTGCATTGTGATTCATGACAGTAGCAAAATTACAGTTATGAAGTAGTAACAAAGTAATTCTATGGTTGGGGTGTCAGTGGGGCCTGAGGAACTGTGTTAAAGGGTCTCAGCATCAGGAAGGTTGAGAACCCGCTGTCCAATTGTCTCAGAGACTTTGATCTTCCAATGTCCAAGGCCTCCTTTTTACTTCCCTTCTGCAGACAGTCTTTTTTGTTTTTATGCACACAGCTCACTCCCATGGGTAAAGAACATGGCTACATCTCGGTAGGTGCCCGGCCCAAGCCCATTCGTGGCCCTTACAGAGGTGCCCTGGGCACCCGGCCCAAGCCCGCTGGTGGCCCCTACAGAGGTGCCCCGGACACCCGGCCCAAGCCCGTTCGTGGCCCCTACAGAAGTGCCCCGGACACCCGGCCCAAGCCCATTAGTGGCCCCTACCATTCGTTTCGACGCTGGACGGCCTTCTCATACTTTTTGCGCAGCTGCACCATCTCCTCCTCAATGACGGTGATCATGCTGGCCAGGCGGTCCATACTGGTCAGCTGCGCCTCCTTCTTCTCCTTCATCTCCTGAAGCTTGGTGGTGATTTTGCACACGTCGTTCTGCATGCTCTCCCTGATGGTCACGTTGTTGGAGTGCTTCAGCACGGCGTTCTGCAACTTCCTTTTAAAACAGCGGCACAGTGGGGGGCAGGGGAGAATCATTTTCCTCGGAAGTACTGACGGTGTCTGCAAAGCAAGTCTACAAAGTGTGTCTTCCGAGATGACATCCCTGCACGGTGCTTTCGGGACTTCCTGCTGCCATGTGTCAACCCCTGTGCTGCACTGTTGTGAAGGGCCCTCTGCCATCTCTGTCAAATCTACATCCGTCTTCTGAGGAGAGAGGGGCTTCTATGCCCACGCCTCATTGGACCTGAGGACTCAGCCTAGGAGCATGGGTCAGGCTGCGTGCCGTCACAGCCTGGATGTGGTACTTTCATTTCCATCCAGGGAAGAATCTGACTAGGAAATTTCTCTTTCTCATGTCTTTCAGGTCAGGGTATTCAGTATTACCTTTATCAAAGTCAACTGGGCAATAGTGGCCAAGATAAAAATCCAGTTATGCCATCTCCATCTCTGGCCATCAGGAGCTAACTAGGCAAAAGAGCCCAGTAGGTCTAAGCATAGGGCAAATATTCTTTCTGGGATTATTACATAGATGAACTCATTTAGTAACGAACGATCCTACACAGTAATGACAAGGATCATGTATAAGGAAAGAGTCCAGAGAAGTGGGGTGACTTCCTGAGAGTGTCTGACGGAGCTGTGGGTTTAGCCTCCACATCCTGCTCTCAGCAAATCTGCTGTGGGCTCCCGAATGCTCGTCACGTGCTTCAAACCCACAACCAGGGACGCTACCTAGAAGGCCATTGTCTTCTGGATTCACCTGCAGATGGTCAGATTTATACTTTTTTTTTCTTAATTGGGCAAATGTGAACACCAACAGATCATCACAGTAAGCATAGTTTTATGTGAGTTTTCCATTCGTTAATATGTGTGTGTGTGTGTGTGTGTGTGTGACTCTAGAAACCAGGAAGTGTGTCCACCTGAGAAACACGGTGTGGGAATAGTCTTGCTCCCTGCCGTGACCACCAGGATCTTACAGACGGCCAAATCCACAGAGGACAAGGCTTTGGGAGGACTCTGGCTGTCTTGACTCTTACCTTTCTTGAGAGACAGCACTGTTCCTTAGAATTTCCAGCTCATTTAATGACATTTTGTGCCTTTCTCTGATCTCGTTTACTTTCTGATGAGCTTTGTGTAGGAGGTTGACAAACTTATTCCTTTCATTTCTGATTGTGTCATAAAGCGCGGCAAACTCTTTAAGTCTGGAAAAACATGAAGAGGTTTCTGAGAATCGAAAGATAAATATCGCCTTTCTCCCAACCAAATAGCTAACTCATGACCAAACTCTTTTACCTCCGATGAATTTCATGTTTTCTCTTCTTGTGTAGTCTGATCTCAAGGTCCTTTGCTTTGATTTCCTTAATAACATTGAAAAGTTTTTGCTGAAAGGTATAGAATTATGTGTGAGATAAAGAAAAACGACTAGAAAGCTAAGTGTGGCGGCTCACGTCTGCAGTTCCGGCACCGGGGACACCGAGGCAGCAGGACTGCCATGAATTCAGGATCAGCCGGTGATATATAGTAAGAAAACCAACAACAAAACCCACAACGTAAGAGTGCTCTGGCTGAACCCCACTCCTAACCTGCTGGGCTGGACAGAGCTGCCCGGCCAGTTGAGGGGATTCCTACTAATTAGGGCAGAAGGTACTCAAGCTTCAGGAAGAACTAGAGAGCCTGCCTGCACAGACAGGGTGGGGACGCTGGGGGACGATTGGGAGAAGATGACCGTAGACCGCCCAGCCAGGACAGCGTGGCCTGCGTTTCCAGAGGCCGACAAGGAGGAGGATTTACAAGAAGTTTCACTCAGGTCGTGACCTGAGCCCTGTACGGTGTAAAGAGCAGCTCCATCCTGCTGTGTTTGCTGGGAGTCTCTTCTGTTATAACGGGGCCGTGCTGACACCAGCTGTAAGCTGTATATACATATATTAAAAACAAAGCAGTTACACCTTTAACATCCTAAGAAAACTATACCAAGTACTGAATGTGCTAGTGATGGTCTTTGGAGAGGACATGCCTGGTGTCCTTTCTCGGGGGTAGGAAGCATCCGGAAACAGAGTGTCTGCTGGTAGCATTGGGAGCGGTAGGGGGTCAGTCACCTTCAGGGGCAGCAGAGAAGACTGTATGGATACACTGCGATTTTATTTTGTATACTTTTCTGTGGAAACGGGTGTCGACAAGCTAGCTTTCAGATACACGAAACGGATAAAGCAGGTATAATCTACGCTGTCTCTAATGGAGCAACATCTACGCTGTCTTGTGGATGGCACCAATGTCAACATGAATCCCATCCCGGTCACCTTATGTGGATATAAAAGACATGTGGCTATTATATAAATTAATAAGATTGAATACCTTCAGTCTTATTAACTACAACTAATGTTTCAAAGAGTGATGTGGGAGTGTCATATATCAATCTGTTGATATCATTGGTTAATTAAATAAAGAAACTGCTTGCCCTGATAGGTTAAAACATAGGTGGGAGGAGTAAACAGGAGGAAGATGGGAGGAGTAAACAGAATGGAATGCTGGGAGGAAGAGGAAGTGAGCTCAGACTCGACAGCTCTGCTCTCTGGAGCAGAGACGCCAGGCTCCGCTCTTCCAGGCAGCTCCGACCCAGGATGGACGTAGGCTAGAATCTTCCCGGTAAGCGCACCTTGGGGTGCTACAAACAATTATTAGAAATGGGCTAGTCCAGGTGCGAGAATTAGCCTAGAAGAGGCTAAATAGAAACAGGCCAAGCAGTCTTTAAATGAATATAGTTTGTGTGTTGTTATTTCGGGCATAAGCTAGCAGGTGGCTGGGGTGCTGGGGACGCAGCCCCGCCGCTCTTATTACTACAAAAGAGTAATTCCCAATATTGAAACATTAAAGGGAAAAGCAATGTTTTCCCTTAGGATTTTCATATCTCAAAGAGAACCGTCTTGAGTTCTATTATGAATAAGTTCAATTAGTAATGAAATTTACCTTATGTAGATTATTGTGTTTATAACATAAGGATAGATAAAATAAGGATCAGATATTAGGACTGATTAGAATTTGTCTACTTTGTCGAAAAGATCAGTTCTTTTCTGGGAATCATGAAGTAGACCTCTATAGTACATCTGAAATTGCTGAAAAGAGAGATTTCTAAGTAGGAAAGCTCACAGAAGTGGACTCTTCCACCCACAGCAGGTGCTTCTGAAAACACTGTTCTGGCTAACCCCACCCGGCCCCCGACTTTGGTGGCAATGACCTTCTCAAGCCTTGGCTGCCCCTCTTAGTCGTTCTTCACGGGACAGCGTCATGTCTGTCTGATTCCCGAGAGGCTACGCTCTCTCTTCTGTCCCCTACCAGCCCAGAGATGCCATGGGCTCTGCTGGGCTTTGACAATAGAATCAACCAGCTCAAGGTGGGTCGAGTGACCCTCGCCATCTGCCCTCGCCTGCTCTCCGCTGCCTTTGACATCCCTTCTCCTTTCCCGCTGCCAGTCAGGTGGAATTTCTCTAATTCAACAGGGAAAGAGGTGTCTGAGGAGCTGGATAATTGCGGGGGGGGGGGGCGGTCCTATGAGGCTACAACTTTCCCCTCCAGTCTCTGCTACAGAATCTATTCCATATTAGTGCCCACCAATGTTCTATAAGTGTAGGTTCTTTCTGGGGAATGAAAAATATCCCCCCCCCACTTCCGCACATAGAATGAGAACAAAGACGACACTTGGGAACAGCCAATGCCCAGGTCACATGACAAAGGCAGACACTCTACTGTAGTAATAGTTTATAACATACTCTTTAAAATTATCAAAATTATTACTATTAATTTTTGAAACACAGTGTCACAGGCCATTGAGGCTAAACTCGAACTTACTGTGCACCTGTGTCTTCTATCTCTTGATTGCATGTAACATGTGCACGCTTCTATTGTTTGTTTGGCAAGAGGTCAAAGTGCACAGGCAGGCACTGTAGCCTTGAGCTGTCTCCCCAGTGTTTGCTTACTTTTAACCAAGGACCCCTAGACACAGCCCTTCTGTGGACTAACTGACTCCAATGTTAAACGTTAGTTCCTGCTGCAGGAGGGCTTCGTTCTCTGAAATTGCTTGTGGTACTTTGTGGGAGTCAGGAAATCAAGGGGCAAGGCAACTAAGAGCATCCTTCTCTGGAGGATGCTCGCCTGATGATGTCCCATGCCCTGTTCTTTAGTCTGTGACTCCGACCTGCAGATTCTCTCTGTGGCCTGTGCACCTGGTAGCCCTGGCTCCTAGAGACGCCCACTTCATTCTTGTTGAAATCGCCATCTCTTCAGACCCTCAGTTCATGGTCATGGTTTTTTTTTTTTTTATTATTAATGTCTAGACTGCTAACTATTGAGGTGTTTTATGTTTTGTTTTGCTTGTTTGCTTGTTTTTCAGTGTATGATTCAGTGTCCTTTAGAAAAAATTATTGTTACTGAATTTGAAGGAAAATAAAATCATCACTTTCTAATTAGTGATCCGTTAAAACGAGGCTCCTTTGACCCTTTGTGGTAATTAATAGTGGCTATAAGAAAGCAGTTACCTGGGCCTTCAGGAAATCCTTGGACTTTTGTTCCCGCTCATCAACTTTGAGCTGAGTCATTCGCCCCAGGTTGAACACCAGGTCTCGCATGTTCTCTTGTTCCTTCAAGAGCTTGTTTTCCTCTGCGATCTGCTGCTCCACCAGCCTCGCTTCCGCTTCGGATAGGCTTCTCTTTGGGAAAGCACGGGAGTGTAAGTCATCTGAAGGGGCACCGTAAAGCCGGCATAAAGCACCGTCTTCCTTCCGCGCTTGTCAACAGAGAGGGCAAAGCCACCCCAACTCTCTGCTCTGGGTTTCTCCTCTGCTGCACGGAGGATGCGAACTTGTGGGTCAGCGAAACCAAGCTTGACCTTAGTGTGGTTTCAAGGGACTAGAAGGGCTTTACATTTACGTCTTAAAATACTTAAATATTCAACGGTGGTTTGAATGACAAAGTTTGAGATTTGAAAATAGACATTGATGAAACCGACTTTTAATGCAATCAATAGCCCTTTTATTCAAGCAATCTTAATAGCCTGTAAAGGTTTGCCATGTCAAACACGTCTTCTCCCCCCTCTTCGGGGGGAAAACAGTGGGGAATGAACTTTAAGATAAGGATGGTGTGTGTGTGTGTGTGTGCGTGTTATGTGCACGCATGCGTGCACATGCTCTGTAGAGAAGACCACTCGGCTAAATGAGAATTCTGTGTGTGTGCTCAGTAGAGACAGACCACTTGGCTAGACACAGATGTTGTGTGTGTACTCAGCAGTGATTGACTTGGCTGACATGTGTGAGGCACTACACTAAAGCCTCAGTAACCCTCCCCATTAGGAAGAAGTAGGCCCTTTGAAAGCAAGATGGCGCTCCAGCAGCATACACTACTTTACAAATGAATGCGTGTTATTTGTGCATGCTCTTATACACACGGATGGGTTTCACGGTGGCATCTATGCACACTATCACCCCCTCCCATCCCCTCCCATCCCTCCCATCACTCTTTGACGTGCTCTTTGTGGAGCATGTAGAAACAGAGCTCTATACTCAGATCTGAGACAGCCCTGTGAATGAGTGGGCTGCTAACCTGCTGAGCCAGGTTCCTCTTAGCCAATTCAACTTCCTTTTGGAGGTCTCTCCTTCTCTCAGGCAACAGAAGGTCATCCTTAGGGATAGCTTCAATCTGGAATTCAGAATTTAAAATAGGCGCTGTAAGGAAAATACTGTCCGATACCATACGCTCAACCCCAGTACACACTTTTGAAACTGGCAGGCGAAGCGTGATTCCTGATCACACAGGCACTTCCTACTCTGGTTACATTTTGTAAAACCAATGTGAGGTAAAATATGAAGATCTACCAAATTTACACAGTCTGTTAGCTACACATGTTTTATCCTTTATAAGTAAATTTTAATAGCTGACATTTAGTGAGCAGCATCTAAACTTGTGGTGGTGTGGGGCCTAGACCCACGAATTTACTGACTCCTCACAAATGCCATGAGGCATCCAGCTGTTTGGGAGAAAGTGACAGACAGACTTGCCTCAGGGGTACAGGTGCAAACCCAGGTAGGCACTGCTCTGTCTGAGCGCCGCACACTCTGACCCCCACACACTCTGACCCCCATATACTCTGACCCCCATATACTCTGACCACTGCACCCCGCACACTCTGACCGCTTACACTTCTGTCATTAGATTTCTACTGTGTAAATTTATACTTTGGTTATTTGGATAAAGGTTTGTCTATTTTGTTGATTTTTTTTCGAAGAACCAACTCCTTGTCTTATTGATTTTTTGTATTGTTTTCTTTGTTTGTGTTCTGTTAACTCACTATTGTGGGATTTTTCCAGCTTCTTTATGTAGGTGTTTAGTGCTATGAACTTTTCTCTTAATATTGCTTTCATTTTGTCTCATAAATTTGGGTGTGTTGTGTGGTCAGCTTCATTGAATTTTAGGAAGTCTTAAATTTTTCCCTTTATTTCTTCCTGAGTTTTGACAAAGAAGCAAAAGATGTAAAATGGAAAAAAGAAAGCATATTTAACAAATGGTGCTGGCATAATTGGATATCAATATGTAGAAGAATGAAAATAGACCCATATCTATTGCCACACACAAAACTCAAGTCCAGATGGATCAAACACCTCAACATAAAAGCAAACACACTGAACCTTATAGCAGAGAAAGTGGGAAGTACACATGAATACATCGACACAGGAGACCACTTCCTAAATATAACCCCAGTGGCACAGACACTGAGAGAATCAATTAATAAGTGGGACCTCCTGAAACTGAAAAGCTCTGTAAAGCAAAGGACACGGTCACCAAGACAAAACGACAGCCTACAGAATGGGAAAGATCTTCACTAACCCCACATCAGAAAGAGGATTGATCTCCAAAATATACAAAGAACCCAAGAAATTGGACACCAAAAGATCACATAATTTAATAAAAAAAATGGAGTACAGACCTAAACAGGTAACTCTCAACAGATGAATCTAAAATGGCCTAAAGACACTTAAGGAAATGCTCAACATCCTTAGCCATCAAAGAAACGCAAATCAAAACAACTCTGACATCCCATCTTGCACCTGTAAGAATGGCCAAGATCAAAAACACTGATGACAACTTATGCTGGAGAGGTTGTGGGGTAAAGGGAACACTCCTGCATTGCTGGTGGGAATGCAAGCTGGTACAGCCCCTTTGGATATCAGTGTGGCAATTCAGAAAATTAGGAAACAACCTTCCTCAAAACCCAGCAATACCACTTTTGGGTATATATCCAAAGGATGCTCAATCGTGCCACAAGGATATGTGCTCAATTATGTTCATAGCAGCTTTGTTTGTCATAGCCTGAACCTGGAAACAACCTAAATGCTCCTTGACCAAAGAATGTATAAGGAAAATGTGGTACATGTACACAATGGAGTACTACACAATGGAAAAAAAAACAATGACATCTTGAAATTTGAAGGCAAATGGATGGATATGGAAAACATCATATTGAGTGAGTAAATCCAACCCAGAAAGACAAATATATGTACTCACTCGTAAGTGGTTTTTAGACATAAAGCAAAGAAAGCCAGCCTACAATTCACAATCCCAGAGAACCTAGACAACAAAGAGAATCCTGAGAGAGACATACATGGATCTAATCTCCATGGGAAGTAGGAAAAGACAAGATCTCCTGAGTGAATTGGGAGCATGGGGACCATGGGAGAGGGAAGAAGGGGAGGGGAGAAGAAAGAGGGGATCAGAAAAAAATGTAGAGCTCAGTAAAGGCAAATTAAAAAAAAAAGAACCAGGAAAATGGGGAATTCAAGAGAAAAAAATAGATACAGAATGGATATAATCATATTGCATGGTATTTATGTGTAAAATTCTCAATAAAAAAAGGAAAGGAAGGAAAAAACCTGCACATATAACTCCTTCAAAGAACCTGAAAGAAAAACTAGCTTGGCCTTACTGTCTACTGCATCCTCTGTATACTATATGCTGTATACTGCACCTTCTGTATACTGTATACTGCACCCTCTGTATACTGTATACTGCACCCTCTGTATACTGTATACTGCACCCTCTGTATACTGTATGCTGCACCCTTTGTACACTGTATGCTGTATACTGTGGCCTATGTATGCTGTATACTGTACCCTCTGTATACTGTATGCTGTATACTGCACCCTCTGTATGCTGTATACTGCACTGTCTGTATACTGTATTCTGTCTACTGCACCCTCTGTATACTGTATACTGCACCCTCTGTATACTGTATGCTGTATACTATATACTGAAAGGCCTAGAGTCTAGGCCCTTCCCAAACTGGCTGTTCTGTAACTTTTCTACCCAATCAAAACAAAACATTGGCCAGTCTTGGGTTAGAAAAAGAGGTGGGAAACATTACGGGACCGCCAGCAGTCTAACAGGATAGTGCATCCTCAAATTGCCATCCACTGCTACCTTTTCCTTCTCTTTCTACAGAGAGCAAAATCCTAGTGCTCTTTGAAAGAGAGAGCTAGGCTTAAAATTTTAGATTTTAAGGTTTCTCACACCTACCTCGAGTAGAAGCCTTTGATTCAGGGCTTGAGTCTGAGCCAACGCGTCCAAGGACACTTTCAGGAGCAGCTCCATCTTCTTCAGGTTTCGGAAGTCTCGCTCTTTCTCCCTTTGCTTGCGAGAAAGTTCATCATGATAGCTCTGCTTGTCAATGAGGCAGTTTCGAAGATTAAGGTCCAAGATGCCTCTGTCCAGGTCAAGGGCAAAGGGGAAAGTGATGTCCCCCGCTATCTTATCAAAGACAGCACACTCAAGGGGATACAGAGACCTTTTCATATGTAACAACCACAAATCCTAAACAATGCCTACAGTAGCCAGTTTGGGGTATCGCTATCATTTAGAAATATGATCCTATAAACTCCCCAAATGTAATGACAGGCTAAGGAGACACAGGTCTCAAGTTTCCTTAGATTTTCCCTAAATGTACGAAGTAAGGCTGAGAGAAAAGTTCAGTGATAGAGCAATTGCATCCCAGGACTGAAGCCCCGGGTTCAAACCCTGAACTTAGGAAAGTCAGGGGCTAGGGAGATTCTGCAGTTGGTAAAGTGCCTGCCTCACAAACCTAGGGGTTGAGGCCCCATATCCATGTAACCAGCTGTGAGTGGGAGAGCCCATTTGTGATCCCAGTGTGGAGAGGTGAAGACAGTCAGTTCCCCGGAGCTCACTAGCCAGCCAGTGTAGCCCAGTCAGGCAGTCTAAGGTCCCAACCCGATGAGAGACTGTCTCAAATACAAGAGGGACGACAGAGGTTGTGCCCTCTGGTCCCTACACTCTAGTGAACACACGTGTGTGCACACTTAAAAGTAAAGTGCTCCAGTAGGGAATCCCACCGGGAAATCTCCCTCAGCCAGGAAAGGCTGGGATTAAGTCAGGAACAGCACTCACTGGCAGGAAAATCTCTGGATTCCATAGCCCAGACCAGCGATGTAGTTCCCCACGTGTACAGCAAACATTTTATTCTTAAATCTGGAACCGTGGAATTGAGGGAAATTGTGATTGAAAATGTTTTGATCAAACTTTCCGTTTTGCTATGAACGATGTTTAAGTTCTTCACAATGAACAATAAATGTTCCTGCAGCAATCTCTGACGTCTCCAGGAAGAAGACGGGGCCCCACAACAACAAATCCACCTGATTCTTATGATACCATTCAGCTGATAGCACCCAACCCAAGATCAGCTTGGGGTTACAAACTGCTCGAGATAGGTCTTTGATGGATAGTCATAGCTACTTTCCTCTCGTGACTTAGCTAAGATACGACTTAGTCTCCTCAAGGCTAGGGCAGCTGTTGAAATAATCTGCTATTTGCTAAATAACCTTAGAGTGGACATTTAGTGTGTGTTTCTTGCTTGATGTTGTTCAGTTGGTTGTAGTCCTATTCTTCTGTAAGTTTTTGACTTTTTTTTCCTGGATAATACTTGATATTTGTTCTTATTGCATATAGTTTTGTTTTAGGTTTAGAGCTTTCTTGTTTAGACAAGGGGGAGGTGTTGTGGGAATTCATTCAGCCAATAGCCTCTTGGATCCCAGTCCACAGGGCATGGTCTGAGGGACTAGAAGCACAGAAAGAAAGAATGCTCAGTCCCTTTTTTCCTCCCATTGCTTGGTTGGAGGTCAGAGTTCGGTGTGCAGCTCCCAGCACCCACAGAGCAGAGGACCGCAGGGTTCTCTTGTTGTAAGTGTTCACCCATAAGCACTTGTTATCTTTTATTACAGGATCTCGTGGACTTCCTTAATTATACTACACATAGAATGAAGGAAAATTGTGATTAAAGCATAGAAAAATGTGCTTCAAAATATTTTGATGGTGCCTTAATGGGAAAAATTGATTTAAAATTCTACAACTTGCTATTGAATCGCATGCAATCAGTTGACAATGTTTTGAACCTTCAAGATTGCATTGATTAAAATGCAGATGACAGGACATGGTTAAAACGAAGATGACAGAAACAGAAGTAACCTTTCAGCTAGCGAGGAAGCTTCGTTCTCTTTGGTTAACTCCAGCATCTTAAGTAGTTGGTTATACTCTCGTTCCTTCACTTCCAGTAGGGCTCGCTTGCCCTCCACTTCCTTCATGACGTCATCCTTCTCTTCCACCAGAGCACTGACTTTGTTCTCAAGCTTCTTTAAAGACCCATTTAGCTCTTTGACTTCGTATTCCAAGACAATATTTTTCTTTTCCATTTCTCTGTAGGAACACAGACAAAAGTAAGAGGGTTTAGTTTTGAGGTCATGCTATCTCTACCCATTATTGTCAGGCAAAACTACGCTTGTCATCACTCACTGATCTCAGGAACATGTGAAGGTCAAAGGGAGAGGGACTTGGGAGGTGTGGTGCTAACTTTCTTCATCAGCTTGAATCACTTGGGAAGAGAGTCCCGATGAGGAACTGTCTACACTGAACCAACCTGTGGCAATGGTTCTCAACCTTCTTAATTCTGCAACCCTTTACTACAGTTCCTCATGGTGTGGTGAACCCCAACCATAAAATTATTTCATTGACACTTCATAACTGTGATTTTGCTGTTATTAATCATCATGTAAATACCTAATATATAGGATTTCTGACCCACAGGCATGTCTGTGGGAGGTTGTCTTTGTTAAGTAAATTGGCACGGGAAGACTCAGTCCACTGTGGGCGGCACCCGTTCCTTAGGCAGGAGGTCCCATACTGTGTAAGAGGGAAGAAATGGAGCGGAGCTCAGACAAGTCAGTATACGTGCTTTCATGTTTTCTCTGCTCTTGACTCTGGATGTGCTGTGATCCGCTGCTGGAAATTCCTGCCACATGCTGACCACAACCTGGAGTTGCAGGCTGAAATGAACTGCTTTCTTCCCTGAATTGTTCTCTGTCAGTCTTTCATCGCATAAACAAAATGAAACCAGGACGGGGATAACTTCCCAGAATGCCCCGAGGGGCGGGCATTTGCTCATTCTATTTTCTCCTCATGCCCCAATCTCTGTCACCTGCAGTGTGTCTCCTCTCATCCTGACCAGCATCCTGGACCAGGTCTGACGTTCCTAACTCCGCTTCTGGTGACCCTGGGTTTTAGAATCATACTGCTTCATTTTCCAGTACTCTTTTAGGATTGATTACTAGAGTAATCCTGTTATTTCTCTAGAATACTTTTATATGCACTAACCTGTCCCACCAGCCAGCTCCCAAATAATGGCACGAGACTTACCCTAATTACCAAAGCTTGGCTTTTATCTTAGGCTTGTCTCAACTAGCGCGTGTAACTAAAATTAACCCGTTTATATTCATCTATGTTGAATGTCGTGGCATGTTTGTACACTGTGTGAAGATATTTTATTGACTCGATAAAGAGCTGAACTGCCAATGGCTAGGCAGGAGACATAGGCGGGACTTCCGGCTGAGAGAGGAAGGAGGCCCCAGGCACTCGGCAGGCACAGTGTTCCATGAAGGGAGGGGCACAGGCAGAGTGAAAGAAAGGTGAAGAGCCCCAAGGCAAACCTTACAGTAATATCAATGGGTTAATTTGAGTCACAAGAACCAGTGAGACAAACCTAAGCTAAGGCCGAGCTTCCATAATTAATAATAAGTCTGTGTCATTATATGGAGCAGGCAGCTGACAACAGAGCTTGCCACACCAACCTTTCCTTTTCTTTTTGATCACCGAAATCCTAGAACTTCTCAATGGTCTTCACATCTGAGTGCCTGAGGGTGAGCAGGTGCCTGGTGAGGAGCTGCTGTCTTTTGGGTGCTGACTGCCTGAGCACCCTTCGGGACAATGACAGCCTGAGTTCAAAGTTAACCTCCAGCCCTGAAGAAGCCGCTGAAGGCCCCCATAGAAATACGATTCATAAGCTGGAGCAGAAATAGTGATCATCGTTGGCTGTATTACTTCCTTTTAAAATTCCCGATACACAGAGCCTAGGTGGCACCGGGGTCAGACAGTTCCAAGATTGTAATTCCCCAAAATTATAACATGCAAACACGTCATTTGGAAGAGGGTTGCTTAGAAGGGATTCAGAACAAAAGTATTAAGCCGTACATTTTTTTGCGGGTCATTTTTTCTATCTCTTTTGAAATTTGTACAGGAATGGTTTGATGGTGGACCACGTCATCCTAGGAGAGAAACACAATCGTGTTAAGTCATGTAGTCAACTAAGTGAGCAAATTAAATGAGAAGGAAATTAAAACTCTTTAAAATGGCAGAACTCTTACCATTTACCCTGTGTATTTTGTTTCTCCCAATATTCACCTTATAATGACCTTATGAGGTCATCGCACTTGTCACTATCTCAAAAAGAGGACGACGGAGTGAGGTAAGAGTCCCCTTTCCTGTTGTGCCCTGCTAAGAGTCCCCTTCCCCTGCGGTGAGAGAGGTGGGGAGAAGGATGGAGGAGGCTGTCACCATTGCTCAAGCAATGAGATAGTGTCCTATGCTTCTTGAGAGAACAGCCTCTGTGGTTCAGTTCAAGACCCAGGGTTCTCTCTGAGGCCAGGCTGAGGCCAGAGCTGTACAGCAGAACCTGGACCCCGCCTGCCTTCCCCCCAGTCTCTCCTGCTTCCTTCACAGCCCTGTGGGCTTCTCCTGCACTAACTGCCCTGGACGCTGCGTCTGGGGAGCCCAGCCTGAGATTGACAGGAAACGTGATGAACAAGACCCTTTGTATCCAGGGTACTGACCAGAGCTCCACGGGGCTCTGGGCAAAGGACTCTCCTCAGATGCTGCTTCCTGGATAAGATGGGTGAGCAGTGAGTTCCTGCTGTGAGGTCTTAGGGAAGGCCGGAGAAAACTGCAAGTATTTCTAAGCCAATGATGGGGGGGCTGTCCCTTAACTAACTCTAGATTCTTGAGAATTAATATATATATATTTCAAAATGAAATTAATTTCAATCCATTTTTCCCTAAAACATTAATATGGGCTCCTCGTCACTTTACAGGAAGAACGGAGTCAGGCACACAAGGGAGAGGCAATGCAAACAATTTCCTGCAAGGAATCACGTGTGTTTGTGACACCCACTTCAAACATTGGAGGCCAGCTCTGCAGGGGTCGGCCTTCACATTGGGACAGTATTATCAAGTTTTTGCATGTCTTTTCCTCCAAACACCGTCATTTGCTTTGTAAATTCCCAGAATTGAGGTTGCCTTTGACAGAGTCCTTCATGATACAGAGCCTTGCAGTTAGCGGGATAGCTCTTTTGGTCACATGCAAGTAACTAACCTCAGCCCCTGTGTTTTTCGGTCTGTGGAGGCCCAAAAATGTGAGCCTATTTCCACCCTGACCAAAGGTCAGAGGGTTGGAACTTACTTCTGTTCCTTCAAGGTTATGGTGTTTCTACCTCAAAGGTCCCACCTAGATTGAGATTAGAGAGTTCTGCTCTCTCTGGTTATTGCCAACAGGTGTGGTTACTATCCAGACCTTGTTTTTCAGAAACAGAGAAGTAGATATGTTTTAACCCCAAACAAAATTCTAATGATCCAACTAAGTTCCTACTCCCTTAAGGAGATAACACTGGATTCCACCTAGGGAGTAGTTTGCTTACAGAATGCTTTGGTCTAGGGTTGTGAGCCTGACTTGTTTTGTCCTAGCAACAAAGTTTAACTAAGAATGTAGCCTGCGACCTTCAATTGGCATGTTCATTTCCTCGTGTCCCACTGCCGTTTTTGTTTGTTTGTTTTTGTTTTTTATCTTACTTCTACCTTTCGGTCAGGGTATTTTAAGCAAATGGAAACTCAACCTGAGGGATATTTCAGTATTCACTGGAACTCCTTCCTGGTACTATCCTTTGCTTTCTCTTTCATTATTTCCACTCATGTCTTCGTACCCTTTGCTAACTTTTCTAATCCCATGCCCCTACCCTGGTAAGTGGTATTTTTGTTGATGCTGGTCTCTGACACGTGCCCACATGATGTTTGCATACCCACGGATTGCCCACAGCGTACCTTCAGGCCAACCTGACACTCCAGCACCTCCTCCAGCTCCTTCTGCTCCTTCGTTAGCTGCTTCTGCTTGGACACCAGGTCTTCCCGGAGGATTTTGATTTCTAGTCTCTTCTGCATTACTTCCTTGCGCAGTTCTTCAGTGCTTTCCTTTAGTATTCTCATCTTCTTCTCCATTTCCTTGAACAGAGAATGGCCGGTGAGATAGTCCAGGGGATGCTTGTCTACTTCGAAGGTGAAAATTATTCCACTCACCATATTGTTTGTACAGGCTTGGAGGTGTGTAAGTGAATCCCCGACCAAGCATGGGGCCATTTTTTAACCGAGTGGTTCATGTTTTACACGTGTTCTTTCCTGTGTTGATTTTTATTTCATACTAAAAAGCACTATGAAAATGTACATTCTGTTTTCCTGTAGTGTTGGGGTTTGACGAAATCCAATGCAAATTATCTTGTAGTTAACATGAGTCATACTCGGCGACCAGACACGAGGAGGCTCACGTTTCCACACGGCCGCACGCACATTTATTACTATTACGTCTGTACAATTCCTTCCTTGGTGTCCCCCATCAGGCTCAGGAGAGGCTTGCTTCCTGTGCCTTATTACTGTACGCAGAAAGACTATCGGCTGAGGATGGCCAACCGCACGGACGTATTAGCCTGTGCTGAGTTTTCTTTGAGAGTCCCTTCTACTGCTGGAAGAAAGCAAAACAAGTGATCTAAAATTCACACTTTCTCCTCTCTTTCCCTCTTTCTCTCTTTCATGTGTGTGTGAGAGACTGTGTGTGTGAATGAGTGTATGTGTGTGTAAATGTGTGTGAGTGTGTGTGAATAAGTGCATTGTGTAAATGTGTGTATATGACTGTGTGTGAATGAGTGTGTGTAAATGTGTGTGTATGACTGTGTGAATGAGTGTATGTGTGTATAAATGTGTGTGTATGACTGTGTGTGAATGAGTGTATGTGTATGACTGTGTGTGTGAATGAGTGTGTGTATGACTGTGTGTGTGAATGAGTGTGTATGTCTGTGTGTGAATGAGTGTATGTGTGTATAAATGTGTGTGTATGACTGTGTGTGAATGAGTGTGTGTGTGTGCGTGAGAGAGCGTGTGTGTGTGTGTGTGTGTGTGTGTTATAAAGGTTAGATGTTGCCTTGTTGCTGTGATTAAACCCCGACAAGAGGAACTTAGGGAAGGGGTTGCTTTGGTCTGGTTGGTTGGTAGGAAAGCCCTGGCAGTGTGAGCGAGCATGCAGTGGCTGATCACCCTGTCAGGGAACATGGGACAGGGAATGCGGTGTTCAGCTGCCATTCTCCTCTTTATTCAGCGCAGGACCCCCACGTTAAGGTGGCTCTTTCCACCTCTGTGAGACAGTTCCTCACAGTCATGCCCGGAGACTAACCTAACCTAGATAATGTCCCCAGAAGAATGCTGAGACCTGTCTGCTAGGGATTCTAGCTCTGGTCAAGTTTACACAATGTTAACCACCGCAGGCATACTTATACAGAATTAACAGAATCTTACTAAATGCTCCACAGGCTTGTGTGCTGGCTGTTAAACCAGTGACAACAAACACCATCCTGGAAGTGGAAGCCATGTTGTCTGTTGTAGGTCTTAAAGCTTCACCACAATTTCTTCCTATTCCCCAGGGCGTCCCTGGCCCTCTGCAATGTGCCTTTGTCACTCTTTCCACTAGAGGCCAAGTGAATCCTCTCTGGGCATGGCCCCCTCCACTGTCTTGACTAACAGAACCGTACCAAAAATTACTTAAATAGCGGTTTTAAAAGCTCTTGTATACTGTGACATGCACGTCTTCAGAGTGGAAACCCTCCCACTGTCACGTGACCAGCAAGTGACATGGGACCTTAGATCACCTAACTGCCCCGCAGCTCCCGCTCCCCCAACTAAGCCAGCTCAGATCAAGAGGACGCAGAACTATAGTGGAAATGCTTGTCCTCTTAAGTCACTAGCTTTTGAGATGGTTTGCTATGCAGGGATAGGTAAGCAATCGTGGGGTTTGAATGAGAATGGCCCCATAGGCTCGTGTGTTTGAATGCCTGGTCCCTACTTGGTGGAACTGTTTGGGAAGGATTAGGAGGTGTGGCCTTATTGTAGGAGGTGTGTCGCTGGGGTGGGCTTTGGGCTTTCAAAAGCTCTCACCATTCTGTTAACCCTCTCTCCCTCTCTCTCCCCCTCCCTCCCCCTCACACACACTCAGCCTTGTGTTTTTCAATCCATGTGAGCTCTCAGCTACTGCTCCAGCACACGCCCGCCCGCCCGCCTGCCACCATGCTCCCCACCATGATGGCCAGACTGCTTCACCCTGTGTAACTGTGAGCTCTGAATTAAATGCCTTCTTCCACCCACTGCCTGGTCACTGTGTGACCGTGCTGTATTTTCCTTATGACCAAACTCGGAGATGCTCAGAGAGCTCAAGCCTCACACATACGGGAGAGCTGCTTTAAGTGACAACCACAGAAACTCCCTCCCTGCTGTAGACAAAGCAGATGCTGTCTGACTGCACGGCCTGAAGCAGCCGTCAACACAGAAGGCTTGCCACCTGCCTCGTGAGCGTGTAGATCTTCCTTTCTGCTTCTGCGGGGATTGTGGGTTTTTGGAGCTTCAAATGTTTCAGGGTGTGTTGTTATTTTAAAAGGGATGTTTGGATCCAGCTGCATTTAATAAATGCTGATACTTACACCTGGCTTAGGTATCTTCTCAAATTCCTTTAGTATGAGACTCTTTTCTTCGGTTAGGCTGCCAAAAGAAAATATCATATTTGACAAAAAGCACAAAAGTGTAAGGGCCTTCTGCACCAGCACCTTCCTAGTCTCTCTCTCAGCCCCGTCCCCAGGCTCAGCTACTCATGTCCCAGTGTCCTGGTGTCCCCTCTTGACGGTGGCTCTGGTTCCCACTGGCCCGCGTGGGTGCTTCCTCCTGTTCAGCATTGCGGCAGCCTTGTGTGCCCACACCTAATACAGCAGCTCTCTGGGCACGTTAATTATAACTATGCTAGGGCACGGACCTCCCTGAGGACTGAGACTCCTTCCAGGGAAGCTCAGGTCTTTTTCTCTCTATACTGAATTACAGCCGGGTCTTCCCGAAGGATCTTCCTTGTCTGCCTCCATCCTGGCCCCGGTAGTCGACCCTCTACTTTCAGTGCGAAGATTTTTAGCAACATAAAGACTCTCCCAGTGCTTGGCTGCTCACCGGCACCCCATCAGCCTGGACCAACCGGAAACTCTGTGTCATAGCCTCTCCAGTCTCACTGAGCCACTCTCCACTCTGGCCCACTTGGCCTCCTCACTGTTCCAGACTCAGGGTCTCTGGGTCATCCTACTAAAATGGCGCCAACATTTCCCGCCAGTCTATTTTACTTTTTCATATAGCGCTGTTCTCTGCCTGGCGTGCATTCGTCCATGTTAACAGAGACTGCTCTGTTCACACTGCACTACCATTGCGCGCACATAGTTGGCGCTCTACTAGTAGCGGGAATACATTGGATGACTCAAGTTGGTTTAATTCTATTTCCATGACTTGAAATACATAGTTTATATACTAACTGAGGATAAAGCGATAAAGATATATAGCTACCGTTAGAATAACCCGTGCCTCACTTTATTTACACCTGAATTGGAAATTTTCCACAGGAATCATGAATGGAAGAGTCTGCAGATGTTCACAGGTGGGAAAGGAGGTCATTCCAAGAACTCCCAAATTTTACATGACATTTTCATTCCTCAGAGATGGTATTAATGAAGAATGCCACAGAAAGAGTCATACAACACTGGAACAGAAGGAACTTAGCAGAGATCATAGGAACATGGACACTCAAGGAAGGAAAGAAGGAAGGAAGGAAGGAGGGAAGGAAGGAGGGAGGGAGGGAGGGAGGGAGGGGAGGAAAGGAGGAGAAAGGCTGTGATTAAAGGCATCTACCACCACCACCCTACTGAACCTAAAGTTTGTTTATTTATTTATTTATTTATTTATTTATTTATTTTTTACACTTTTCTTTAAAGTTTATTCCAAACAACAGTCTTCAAGCTCACTGTGGTGGCTGACCACATCCACGACCAAAGCCTCCTCTAAACTGGAACTCGGTGGCTGAGCCGGCCCGGCCTGGGCTTTCTTGTCAGCACCAGGGGCACAGCCCTCCTTCTGTAGGTGTCTCTGTCCGCCTCCCCTCTCGTGAATCTTTGGGCCGAGGCCTGCCAGTTTCGGGACGGCTGCGATGCAGGGTGGCAGACACGATCTCCGGAGGTAGGTGGAGATAATCGCGGAGATACTGGATGCCCTCATTCCTAAGGCACCAATAGAAGTGTCTCCAGGCAAACTGCTCCTTCACATAGCCTCGAGACTTCAGAGACTGCATGGCCTTCATGACATGAAGGTTGGGCACGTTCTTGTCTGCCAGCTCGGGGTGTTTGGGCATATGGACATCCTTCTTGGCAACCACCACTCCTTCCTTAAAAAGGAGCTCATAGATGGCAATCCGGTTCTTCTTGGGCATCAACATCGCGGCGGCTGCAGGGTCCGGGAAGGAGGCTGGAAAGCTTAAAGTTTATTTAAAACTTATAAATTGCATCCTTTCAGGACTGTCACTCAGAAAGCTGAGGGACCTTACAGACAGCCATTGTAGACAGCTACACAGACTTTCTCCCTTGAGAATCCAGCGTTCAGTAGGCCTGCCTGTCTACACTGCGGTCTCATAGTCACAGCCACTATAGGCACTGTGACAAACACACTGGAATCTGTCGTCTCCTCTCCTCTTCCTGGATGCACAGGAAGACTGCATTTTATAGCTTCCCTTGCAATGGACTGGGACAATGGGAAGTGGGCGGAAGGAAGTCCCACTTGTCACCACAGACAGCAAGACTTATTTGCTGTTTCTGCATGGCCTCACGGGAGCCTAACTTTTTTATTCCCCTTTCTGGTCCACATTCGCAGTGATAAACAATGACCTCCAGCTCAGTCTCTCCAGCCTGGAACTTACTTGAAATGCCAATTTTTCACTTTTCAATTCCTTGTTAGCCAAAGCCAGACTTTTCCAATTAAAGTTCATTTATTCCCCCTCTGAAGCCTCACAGTTCCTGCCCCTTCTCAGTTCCAAGTGGGAGTAACTCAATTCCTCTCTGCTCTGTGTCTCTTCCACAGCGCTTGGCTTCTAACTTTCAGAAGTTTCACTGTGGTGGATTTGAAATGAAATTTTCAGGCTTATTCTGTTGGGGTTCACTGAGTTTATTAAATATGTCTTACGTCTTTTACCAAATTCTGGAAGATTTCAGATACCATTGCTTCAGAGACGTTTTCCTTGCCACGTTAGAGTTTTTGCTGTTGTCCCATGGGATTCTAAGACCTTGTTCATTTTTATCTTTTCTGTTTTCCAGACAGAGTATTTTCTATTTGTCCTTTAGTCGGTGACTCGTCTAACTTTCGGTCTGTGGTTACTGAATCTTTGTTCTAGAATCCACACAAGGAACACCTTAGAGACATTCTACTTGGCTCTATCTCAGGATGTGTATTTCGGGGATTGCTTTTTTAAGTGAAGAACTGACTTAGCTAGAAACAGTGGTCTAATGATGCTCTTCGCATGTTGTGGCTTCTGAGGCTCCTGTTTCTCCACTGGTCTCGGTGTTTGGAGCTGTTTGCTGGTGTGTGCGTGTAAAAGCTCCTGGCAGGCCTGTCACATAATTCTGGAACCTCTACCCTGCGGTGCTGATGCCTGTTGTCTCTTCTCAGGCAAGCTGGTGTTTGTCAGGTTCTTTCTATGTGAACCCCTTGGATTGTTATGTGGTGGGGTTCCTGGTGTTACTCAGGCCCAGGAAAACTGTTGGTATTTTGACTTTAATAGACACACTTCAGTTCAGATCAGAAGAGCCAGCAAACCTGTTGGCAGGTAGAGTTTGAAGATTCGTTTCATCTCCAGCACCTTTGCTTTGCTGCTTGGAGCTTTCCTGTTGGGACCGTAGCTCGTTCTCAGAGTGTTTGGCAAGCTGCGTGGGATCAGGCCACAAATGTGCAGCCTGAGTCGGGAGGTTCATAAGACACTTGATGGGTTTTCACTTACAGGCTTCCTCTGAACCCTCGCCAGTACCTTCTCCCTGTTAATCTTCAGAGTGATCTTGTACAGTTGGCGTGGGTGGGAAAAGCACCCGTGAAGCTCACAGTCTGGGGCTGTTAGACTCACTTAAAAAACCAAAACAGGACTGCACAATGCGTCCCTTCCTCCAGACTTGTCCATCACCTTGCTACAGTCCTATGATTGTAGCTTCTGTCCCCACGTATGTCGCATCCGGTCAGCTAGAAAACACAGCCGTATTTAAAGCACCTAGAACTGGCTATGGCCAAAGAATGCTTGAATGGCCAAGCTTGCTGTTTAAAACAACTTTAATTAATAAATTAGGAATTCTAATTGATAAATAATAAGGAATATACGATGAGATGGGTAATACAAGCGGAGAAGTGGGAAGTCTAGGAAAAAAGTAAAAGAAAATTCTAGGACCAAGAACGCTGTGACAGAAACAAAAGAAATGCCTGTCATGAGAGACTGGCAGAGTGGAGACAGCTGAATAGAAACCCCTGAGTTTGAAGGTATCTCAATAGAAACCCCCAAGAGTCAAAAGCGCAGAGAAAAAGGATGGAAAAAGCCTAAATGCAGAATATCAAAAGATCTTGGGGCAACTAAAGAAGAGATAGCAAAAAGAAAAGACAGGAAAAAGCAAGTGGTCCAAGCAATGATGACTGAGAACTATTTTATATTAATGTCGGAAGCCAAATTCTAGACCCAGGAAGCGTGGAGAATCCACCAGGTAACATAAATGCCCTCCAAAACTACCAGACATAAATTACAGAAAAATTAAAGGTAAGCAGGAAATAAGATTGTATAACATTGGAGAAGAGCGTGTGGGATCTGTGGTGAAGCAAGGGCCAGAACAGCATCCAATCCCTTTACAAACCACGCACGCGGGCACGGCCAGGGCCACGCTGTGCCTCCTGGGCGGTTCTGAACACCATCAATCTGACAACAGTTTAATTGTCACAAAGGTCAGCTCAGCCATACCAACAGTCACCTTAATGACAAACACAGACTGTAAGAGATGATAAAAAATAGATCCTGCTATAGGTTGTCTATAAGAAACTTACTTTAAATATTCATTTTAATGATGTATATGTACATGTGTCTGGGTGTGAGCACACGTATGTGTGCATGGGTGCCCATGGAAGCAAGGAGAGAGTGTCAGAGCCCTAGAGCTGAAGTCACAAGCAGTTGTGAGCCACCCAACGTGGGTACTGGGAACTCAGCTTGTGTCCTCTGCAAGAGCAGCCTGTGCACTTAACCAGAAAGTGCTCTTCGGCCACAGAAACCCATTCTACAGACCTATAAAATAAAATGAAATGGTAGATAGACCACACCAAAGCTAGTAAAAAGCAGTGGCCACTGTACAAGTGTGAGCATCTTTATTTTGAAACTCCAGCCTCCGCAGTTATCCAAGGTCAGAAACTCCCTGAGGAGCTGGCAAGACACCCAACAGTTTCCAACTTGAGATTTTGGATTCAAAGAGACAATCCCCAATTACAGTTGAGGACCAGACACTCCTCTCCTCAAAACTGACAGACAAAAGCCGAGAGTCAGCAAGGACCATAACTGACCCATCTAGAGATTAACAAAGCAAGGCAATAAAGACATTAGCGAGTACAGGTGGCACACGGGAACAAGGAGGTGCTTGTCCTGTCGATAAGAATGACACAGAAGACGA